ACCCATACGGTAAAAGATAACAACAGCCTACAAAACTCTACATAAAAAACTAAAGACTGAGCAACACGAAACTCACCAAAAACCGGGAGTGATGTCAGGAACTCCGAGAGGGTGAGCATCATTTTAGTACATATATAGGCATCAACTTATATATGCAGATTAAGAAAAAAATATTTAGTTAGTTCACTTCTGTGATAACTATATATATGTATATTGGGTAAAGTTGAGCTGCAGATGAGGATCCAGGATTTTGTAAGATAGATTTTGAGCGGGCCCCAAACTAGGGTAGACCATGTAACAAGTCTATACATTAACTTTCTATATAGCTCCATAAGGGGGACCCTGGCTCCTTCCCCTCCTTAAATCCGCATCTTAGCTGATAATACATTATATATATATTGTAACTACGAATAAACTAGTTCCCTCGTAAGAACTAATAACAGTATTTAAGCCCTGGCCTTGTCATGAAAATTTCACTCAGACTCAGAATTCAACCAATCAAAATACTGGATTGGTGTTTCGAGCACAAATTTAGTATTCCGAGTACTGAGAATAATTTTCTGACCGAAAGGCCGGGCTGGCTGCAGTGACTTGCCGTAATTACATTTAAAACATAGTTTGCTGTCAACAAAAAAAAAGGTACTAAAGTCAGGGCTTGGCTAGTATAAAGTGATCAAGTAACGGTCAAAAAGTCTTTGTGGTTTAAAATTATAATCTACTTAATATTAATACCTTTCTTTTCTCAAAATTATATTTGCTGTCGATCCTTTCTCATCCTAACAGATATATGGCTAATATGTTATTGTTCTTAATATGCATACAATATTTACCAATAGAGTTCAGCAACAAGCCGCGAATCGATCAGATTTATTTTGAGTAGTTAAAAGTAAAATAACAAAAATACCGAACACTAAGGAAAATTTAAAACGGAATGTCCCTTATCAAATGGCAAGATCAAGAGCTCAAACACATCAAACGAATGGAAAACAACCGTCATATTCCTGACATGGTATATGCATTTCCTTATGTAGAAAATGGTGGATTTAACCTGGTTTTATAGCTAGCTTAACCTCTGACTTGTATGACAGTCGCATACAATTCCATTATATTGACAACAATGTGTGAACAAGACAAACAGTAAATAAGGTTTAAATATATATAGATAGTTAACATATTAAACTACAGACATATTTTTCAAAGAAAAAAACTGAGCTTTTGTGATAAAAGAACAAACACTGGAATACATGCATCATTTCAATATTTTTTACCTTTATCCATTTTGTATTCTCATGGATTATTAAATTATTGGTACGAATAATGGGAGTTTAACCTTTATCTCGCAAATGTTTACGTTATCTCGGAAAGGCAAAGTATGCATTTTCTTGCGTTATACCGTAAACAAAGGAAGATATATACAAAAAAAAAGGTTGTGTATACTCTAATACGCTTCCCTACTGATGGCACTAACTGTATAACATAGTATTAAAAATATCACAAAAAAATACAAAACACGCCAAATGTGTCAATTAAACAAATTATTATCCTCAATACAAAATCAATATCTTAATCATTCTAATGCACCATTGTTTATAAAAAAAAATGTTATTTTGATGGAAAACAAAATGCATTTAGTGGTGTTTTCTTTCAGTTGCATGAGAATCGAGATAGCATTTTCGTATTTGAAGATTTTCGGGCGTCAATTTTTCATTGGATGCCTGCAAATCTTTAAATACAAACTGTGTCTTCTTATTTTAATCTAATAATAATACAAAGTACTGTTTTTCAAACTCTGTTGATACGGTATGTGCTTTATAATTTGATCTTCCAGAAATAATAGGGAAAACAAGTCAAAGCGTCGGACTCGGGAGTTTCTCGCTGCATTGAAGACCCATTGGTGGCCTTCGGCTGTTGTCTGCTCTATGGTGGGGTTGTTGTCTCTTTGACACATTCTCCATTTCCATTCTCAATTTTATTTAGTTTTATGTTTCTGTCTTTTTCTTTCGGTCATGTTATCCGTGTATCCTTCTTTGACTTGTAGTTTTGGATTATCCCTTTGTTACTCCTGTCTTTCTATATTCACTACATATCCTAAATTTTTTCTATGATAAAAATAACTGTCGAATGACATAGTGAAAAATCTTCGAAAATACAAAGAAATATTTTATCAATATTAATATTTACTCAACTGTGTGATAGTGTCACTTACCAGGGCAAAAAGGTCGTGTGGAAGAGATTTTTAATTCCAATGACTTATTAATAAAGACCAATAATAGCTTGTCAAACATATTTAATTATTAATTTTTTAAGTATTGTTTGTACTGAGGAAGAAAAAGTTATGTATTAGAAAACGAACATTGTTATCAAATTTCATATCTTTAAATATCGACTTTTAAAATCTGAATATGTATTCAAACATAGAATGAAAATATTGAGTAGGGTTAAGACTAATTAAACACAACAGGTAATCATCAATAGTTATTTCAGTAATACACTTGTTGACAATAACAGATTAAATTCCATATCATATCCCTCAATGATCGACTCCTTCATCAACGAGTTCACATTCAAATCACCTAAGTAAATTTACACTGACAATCGCAAACAATTTAGCTAAGCTACAATTATGTAAAATAAGATTAAAGACATGTTTGATCAGAAAAGAAGGTGTGCATATTCATAATTTCGTGGTAAATTAATCGCCTGAATACTTATACTTGCTTGAATCACAATGTCTTCAACCATATGAAGAACTAACACATGTATAGGTAAAACTCATTTTGCACTACTCTCACCTACAGGTATGTATGTTTGTATGATCGTTTATTTCTTATAATCTCATATTTTAAAATTCTCCATTATCTCATAAGATACTGCTAGAATTATTTATTTAACAGATTTTTGAAAATTTGTAATAGATTTACTGTACATGTAAGGGAATTTAAGTTTTATTGCAAATATCGGAGATAATAATAACAATAATAATAATAATAATAATAATAATAATAATAATAATTCAAAAAAATAATGATAATAATTATAATTTTACTAAAGATCTGACTTTGTTCGAGTATGGAAGTACTGTATTGTCAATAAAGTACTTCAATGGTTCAAACTTGGTACATTTAATCATTTACCAGGATGGATGTAAAATGAACGTAGGTTTTCTATCATGGGTCCAAAGGAGGATTAGAAAAGTTAACTGATATGCGTTACAGTTAGCAACGAAATGGCATAGCGTTTTTAACTTAATCGTCTGTTCAAATTAAAGAAAATTTTAATGTAGTGCTACTGTTATAACGTGACAATACTATAATTATTATATAAAAATTATTTTCATTGTGCAAATAGTATCATATATATATTGGTTTAGTCATTTTTGTCATTTATGATTTTATTTCATTCTTTCTCAAACATATCGTAGTCTTTGTCCGTCGTTTCGGTTTTATAAAAGTATTTTACCAATTTTCGAAACAAAATCGGGTTTGGGTTAGATTTGAACACCGATTAATCAACAACAAAGATAAACATATGTACTTATATTTTTATGGCATTTGAGGAAGAGAATACTGGGTGGGTAAATACGATGAAATTAAATAAAATGAATTAATATACGGAAAAAAATTCCTTTTAACAGACAATTGAAAATGTATATTTTTAAATGCTTTTAGACATGATTGAGAAAGGTTTCAACGTTTTTGTTCTCTCTTCACAATTCATTTTCTCGAATCTTTGAAATAGGAAACTGTATTGAAACAAATTATTAAGTGGGTGTAGAGGATGTTCCTTAGTTAGTTGGCTCGTTCATTCTTCCATCCGAAAGTTCTTACTTTCTATTCCCATCTCATTCAAATCCGCGAACTGCATTCTCTTGAAATTTTCAGTAAAACTTCATTAACATATAATTTTGTAATGCATTTCATGCACTTTAATAGTTTAAATAATGTTTTTAAAATACAAACCATAGTTGAATAATAAATCGTAATATGTACATATCATCGATATTTTATTCTTTTGAAATTATAAATGGTTATCGTTTTGAAATAAGACTATGTTTTTATAATCTTTAGTGAACTATTTATTAATTTTTTCATTTTCTGAATGATCAAACATGATGAAGGATTTCTATAAAACAAAATAACAATAATTCAATATGTACATTTTAAAATAGTTTTGTGAGAAGTATTTTTCATGAGAAGGAGAAAGAATTGAGGATTCTCTGTTAAATAGATAGAAAAAAAGGCAATACAAATGTGGTCAAGTTTCTAAAGGGAACACTTCCCATGAAGCAATAAAGACTGAGCTCAATCCTTCATATAAACCTACCTTTTAAAATCAATTATATGTAAAATCAATCATCAATTAAAGTCAGACAAAACCAGTTTACTTTTAATATATTATAAGATTTACATTATACGCTATTGCTTATCTTATATGCATTACATGTTCCAAAACCCTTTTACACATTTTAATAATAGAAAAGCATGTACTAAACAACTGAGGTGAGTTGTAAAAGAAATTACCGGAGAGAGTTATTAAATTCCAGAAAGAAATAAAGGAAAATCTTCGTAGTTATATCTTCTTTTTTCCAATAAATATGTTACCGAAGTATGAGGCGTTTCTTTGATTAGTCATTCGAAAGTTTTGAGGTTATTCAGTCATTTTGTGACAAAAATGTAATATTTAGGGTTAATCGTATTTAATCGTATTAGACACAGTGTGCAAAATAACAATCACTTATTTATTAAGGATGTAATTGAATCTTTGATTATCAAAATGTTATTTTTACAAATTAAAATTTCTTTGTGAGGCATCTTGTGGGTTATTTTCTAATTTGATCTCTACGCTAAAACATGTAAACGTGTTTAATCTTTCATAAAAATCTGTTTCCTTTATTAGTAATTCTTAAGTGTATGGTTATCATTTTTCACCTATTTCCAGTGATTGATCGGACTCAATTTTCGATAATTAAACAAGACAGATTTTAAATTCTTGTTACATTTTAAATAGCCCCGAAGTAACTAAGATTTAATGTAAATCAAACAGTAAGTTAAAACTTCACTAATACTGAAGACGCTCTTTAATTGTACCAAAAAATGGCAAGTAGAAAATCTAGATCGAGTAGTACGACTTCTGTTATTCTGGCTTCAACAAAATTTCGGAGATTATCATCCTCACCGGATAGAGACTGGCAATGGAGGTCACCTTCAATCGACCAGCTCTCAAAACGAGAACGGAGATCAGCTACAGAAACTCTAACTTATTCTCGCGACAAAAAGAACAATGAAGGCGTACCTGATAGCGGAAGTGCTCTAAGGAGGTTTAAGGGTGCTATTAGGGCGACAATGATTGTTGGTAATAGAAGAACATCAGATTCAGTTATGTTTACATTTTTAGCCATGTCTGATGATAAGCGAAGAGGAACTATTCATGGATCACATGGAATAAATAGCAAACGTCGAAGTGGTGATACTGCATTGAAAGATTCTCGGCTGGTGTCATTCCTCAGTCGAAAATCAGAAGAAAGAAAGGTTAGATTTTGTAGAATATATTAAGAAATGATTTAGTGTCATGAACTATCATTATTTATAAGAGAACATTTCAAAAGGAAAAAAATCTACTCTAGTTTTCTATGATTTCTATGATTACTATGATTTATTTGATTCATTTTATATATTGGTGGTGTCCCTCATTTTATATGTTCAGCGTCTCCAATTTTACGGTATTGTTGCATTTTTTATGCAACATTATATTTATTGTATGTCTATTGCTACGAAACTGCAAACCTTTTGTCTCTCTTGGTTATTGTATCTCACAATTTGATTAAATAGTTAATCTGTTTAAATGTCTTTTAAATTAATTGATGTAAAGAATATCCGACAAAAAGAAAAACAAATCAATTTGGAGTTCTCCTGAATACAGGATTCGCAAAATTCAAATGATATAGCACCGTAGGACTAGTTCATAAGAAATTTTAAATGTAAACTTTTGCCGTCACGTTAAATTAATATTCAAATATAAAGTTTCATTTTGCCTTTCTGTTCCATTGTTTATTATTTCTCGATGTCTGTATGATTTATTTAACTAATTATTCAACCAGTAACGGCATGATGAACACCAACAATCAAAGTGATGTTTCTTTGACTGATAGTTATTTGAAAAAAATATCGTAACACCATAATATATCCTATTTTCATACTGTTTCTATGTGGTTTTGTTTCGAATAAAAACATCGAGCGAGAAAAAGCAATACACACCAGATTCTTGATAGAAATCAATATATAAGTTTGGTATGGAAACGTTATAACCGTACATATGGAAATGCGAATTATATCTTCACCAAATAAATATTATGGCTTTTAGTTTAAATTTTGCCCTTCAATTTTTTTATAACGAATCTGATGAACATACAAGTAGCAAATCTTACTGTTTGTTCAGCCAGTTTTTTCTTTACCACACCACGTCTGAACAAACAAAGTAATCTTATTCTTTTAAATTTACTATTCAGTGGTCCATAGCTATTTTTTCATAGTTGTCCTCAACAAGTGTCAAATAAATATTTTGTTTATAATAATATTTATATGGTTTGATTGAATATTTAACAGTAATCCGTAAGATACATATACTTAACGTAAGCAAGTTACCAAAAGCCTTATGAAATCATACATGTAGTCAAGACTTTTTCAATCTTAATTATTTTTGCATATCATTTATTGAGTACAATAAGCCTATATTTTGAATTATTGTCCAAATTGTTATTGTTATGAAACGTTTTACCAATTCAAAAATTGATCTATGAAAATTAATACATTTGTATTTGCAAATTTTCTGTTTGCCCTCTGTTGCAATTAGTTAAAACAGGCCGTTGATGTAAAGGAAGATGGGTAGAATGACTTCAAGTTGTATTTTATTGGACAAATGTACTTTTTTGGAGTTGATGCCAACTCTGTTCTTGACTCGGGACTAGAGTTTGACTAAAAGTATTGATATTGTGTACTTTCGAAGACAGTGTGTTGATTCTACAAGTTTATAGATGCATTGTCTCTTTGGATTATTGCCCTGTTGAGGTATACCCAACATTTTCTTTTATTGAAATCAAATTAAGTTTATATGCATGATAAATAAATCCTTATAATATAGAAGTATGGAGTTGGAGTGGTATGATAGCCAATGAGACAACTATCCACCAGAGTCCAAATGCCGTACAGAAAAATGTTGTGTTGCTATAAATACGACCTCGATTAAATTAATAGAAAATGAAACAAACCTACTTTCCATTTTATTAATGATAAAAATTCAAAGCTTTACTATAACTCACTGGTAGAAAACTGGTGTGTTGTGTTGCTGATATATATGTTTGTTTGTCTGTCCGTTCGTTTGTTCGCCTGTTAACTCTATCTGCAGAATCGTTAAATCTCCAAATCTTGTTGCTGGGTTTTTCGATATGGGGAATGGAGGGTTATGACAAGTTAATTTTACGAAGATACAAACAGCCCAACAGTTTAGCAATTATGATGTTGTTGGCTTTACTCACGGTTACGCATAATTTATGCGTTACCAGAACAAAAATAACGGAAGCGGTCTGATAAGAGCTATATTTAGGTTTATATATTATTGCTGATACTGATATTGAGGTACGGCCAATTCCCCTGCATTTTTTTGCACCTACAAGTTCACACAATATATAAGCTGTAAAGTCCTACTGGAATTTGAATATTGCAGTCTATATCATGTACTTGAAATATTTTAGCAACAGTTTTACATATTTACATACACTAATTTCGGACCTGTTTCTGTATTGTTATGAGTTACAATCATCAAAGACCCATAGAAACAACATCTGATACAAAAAATTAATAACACTTTTAGATATTTGGATGATATTTTGGCTCTCAATAATGACGACTTCAGTATGTACACTAAAGAGATTTATTCTACTGAACTGACTTTAGATAAAGCTAATACCAACAATGGACACTGTCCTTTCCTGGATCTTGATATCTATATCATTAACGGGAAGCCTGATACCAAAATTTACGATAAAAGAGATATTTTTTTCTTTTCATATTGTCAATTAACCATTTTTAGATGGTGATGTTCCCTTGTCACCATCTTATAGTGTTTATATATCTCAACTTGTTCGATTCGCTCGTATTTGATTTTAACGAAAGAAATCTCTGTATTACTGAAAAATTATTACAAACTAGTCAATACATTTACTGAATTTGATCATCGGTGTATGGACATCATTCGTAAATATAAACCAACATGCAGACATCTTATACGTTCAGGTATTTCACATCCAATCTTTTATGGTATTATTCTATACAAAGCACAAACATGTCGCCATTCACCTCAAAGCTAACCAAATCTTTAAACAGACTTATTTAGAAAGGATATAGTTACGATACTGTTTCAGGTCATTAAAGATGGCATATTTTGGAATTAATATTGATTCACTCAAAGGGTCTTTGCATCGGAAATAAACACATTTATTCTAAAACCAGTTGTTGGCATGAAACGGGTTATGCTCTTCTCATATATTTTATGATGGTATGATACTTAACCCCTAACGGGAGGGATTGTACTTGATTTTCATATGATGAAGACATAATCTTTCAATCAGTTTAATTGAGGTCTGGAGCTGGCATGTCAGTAACTGCTAGTAGTCCTTTGTTAATTTATGTATCGTTGTCATTTTTCTTAGTTACTTCTGTTACCTATTCTGACATCGGACTCGACTTCTTTTAAACCGAGTTTTACTGTACGTATTGCTGTGTGTTTGTTTATTATACATTGGCTAGAGGTATAGGGGAGGGTTGAGATCTCACAAAACATGTTTAACCCCGCCGCAATTTTAGTTCATTTATAAGTTTCGGAGTTTAGTGTGACGTCCACTTTCACTGAACTAGTGCAAGTTTTTGTTTAGGGGCCAGCTGAAACCCGCCTCCGGGTGCAGGATTTTTTCGCTGTGTTGAAGACCCATTGGTGGCCTTGTGCTGTTTTCTACTCTTTGGTCGGGGTTGTTGTCTCTTTGACACATTCCCAATTTACATTCTCAATTTTAGTAATCAAAATAATATTCAAAGCGACATGTTACTATTAATAACATTTGTATACAAAGTTGCAAGATCTATTTTTTTTTTGTAAAATATTTCATCGAACAAAAGGAAAAATATAACTTTACTTAAAGCAAAAGTGGTAAAGGATGTCCTTCTAAAAAATAAAACTGGGATAAATACGAAAAAGTTGCCAAAATCTGTCAAAATTTCTTCTTAGAGCCATCTTCAGGCTTTTAAAATATTTATTAATATTGTCAGAAACTCGAAGTACACACATAGAGTTGTGAAACTGTGAATATTAGAAAATAATGAAAAATAGCCCTAATGTGAAAATAGAAGGAAAATTTACCTTACTTCTTTTATCTTGCGTATATCGATCTGAAGGATGTTTTTGATAGATTTATAATACGATCTGATTGTTTAACTCAAACGGCCAAAAAGAATTGTACTGTGCCATTTTCTTTGACAAACTGATTAGTTAGGTTCTGAAAAATTGGTGCACAAGGCCGAAAGACAAACATGTTTGAATGCTACTGGAAATGAGAATAACATTTTATAAATTTCGTGCGTCCGAGTCGCTTTTCTTTTCTTGATTCACTTTCATTTGGAACGCTCTAAAATAAACACTTGAAAGATCGGGATGTTTAAATACGTAAACACTTTAGGAGTTATTTGACTAAAAGGGACCTAAATAGAATAGCAAAATACATGTTAGGCAAACTTTGACTGAGGGAGTTCGAATCTCAGTTTATGAGGGATTTTGAGAGAGCATAAATTTTGCCCTAGATGTGCAGAGAACTTTGATTCCCAATTACGAATCACAATGTAATTATTATGAAATTAACTGTGGAAAACCATTAAATTTATATAAATGTACATAATAATAATATGCACAGTCTAACATAAAAACTCTCAAGTAACCAGACCTTGTCCTGTCATCTTGAGAACTTTAGTACTATCACCTGTTTTTGTAATATAAAATTTTATAACATCAAAAGCGTTTTTCTTTAAATCAAACAAAACGAAAATATCCGTTATCTCTTTATATAGTTTAACTTTGTGTTAAATTAAGAATTTTACTATTAATAATATTTCTATCGTTTAATTTAATTACGTTCGATTTACTTCATTAAGTCGTTGTATAAACATATTTCACGATTCTCAAACTGAAGATTTAAACTTGAGATTAAAGTATTAAAATCCTATACATGAAGTGACATTCTCAAACGATAAACATGTACCTACAATCAATGGGCAAATTGTGTTAGTCTTTCACATACAGTACATAGTTAATTTAGACCTCCAACACAGCTTGTCCACTTGAACTGTACTTCAATGTCTTGAAATTTAAACGACATCAATTTTTACGTGTAACCTAAGCTGTAAGCATGTACCCTTTTTATTAAGAAATATTAGGCCTATTATACAAATTGTATTTGATTGGATATACATGTAGCCACACACGTGAACACATTTAACTATCCGCTTTCTCCTCTTCAAGTTTTTGTTTTAGTAGTATCAATTGGCAAAGAAATATGTTTTGATTTAATTTATTCAAATGGCACTTTAATACATTTTGTATTAATATTATTATTTTACATCAGTTTTTCTTTAGTTTAAGTACGTCCAACATGTTTTTATTTTCATTTACAGAAGCGGTTGATATTGAAGTTTAGAATAATAGCTCGGTCTATTGGTTACATGATCCACTTGTGCCACAGAGTAATGGTGGATAAGTATGTATATATAACAACAACAAACATTCACTTCTATTCATTTTGTGACAACCATTTAAACGAAAGTGTGCCCAACAGGGGATATCTCAACAAAATCACTTGTCTATATGCCATAGTCTATGGGATGATTATGCGAAAACGACCCTTTTCAGGCATTATGTTTATTTATTATTGCGTTTCTCATTCATTATTGAGCAAACATGTGTAAATGAAATCAGAAATATAACAAATTTATCTAGCTAATCTTAACGTATTTGTATTCATGAATTAATATTATTCTATGATTTGTGTAAGGTATTACACGTTTTAACCGTTAAGATATTTGCATTTTGAAAATCAAAGATTTACACTAAAAGTACAACATAGATTTCAGTCAACATGTTACGTGTTTCTGGAATAAATTCTTCCAGGAAAGACTAAAAGACAAAGTTTGGAACATATGGAGGCCACTACGAAAACGTTTTTGAGTATAATTGGCAAGGAGCGCTTAAACTGAATAGTCAAATCAGGCTAATTTTGCTTGAGGAGTTGCAACTTAAAAAAATGATGAAATTGTGGGGGAGATTTTACTCATTGAAAGAGATATTGTCCACCTTAAAAATAAAAACGTATCAGGACGGTGATTTAATAGTCTTACTATTATAAGACGATGTCCATCCATTTGCTTTAAATGTTTATGATACAGCTTAGGTCCCCATATACTCATTAATGCCAGTGAGAAAGCTGTTTAACATTAAACAAGCGAAAATCCTATAATCCAATATGATGGAGGTAATTCCTTTGATGGAATACGAATATCAAATAAGATGATTTGATTTTTGATTTTTTGTGTTTTATAGCCACTTTTAAGCACCGCTTTTGGGCTATTTCGTGGCGGCCAGTTTTTATTGGTGGAGGAAGCCGGATTGCCCGGAGAAAACCACCGACCTTCGATAGGAAAACTGACAATCCTAGTCAATTAAGATTGGAGTCGAGTGCACCCGCACCAGACGGGTTCGAACTCACAAGCTCAGTGTTGACTGGCTAGTGATTACAGTAGTATAACTACTTAAGACAACTGGTCACCGATGCCCCTCAAATAAGATGATGTGGTATCATTGTCAATAAGACACATATATCAAACAGAGTCCAAATGACTTGAATTTAAGCAACTATAGGTAACCGTACGGCCTTAAACAATGAACAAACCCCATACCATATAATCAGCTATAAAAGGACCCGACATGTCCAAATTTGAAACAATTCAAACGAACAAAACAACGGCCTAATGTAGGACAAAACAATAAACGAAAAACATTTATAACAGACACCAACCGACGACAACCACTGAATTACAGGCTAATAACTTGAAGACAGGCGCATACAGAATGTGGCGAGGTTAAACATATTTGTGATGGCTCAACCCTTCCCTAACCTTGGACAATTGTGTAATAACAAACACGAGACCAAACTGTAAAATCAGTCCGAAATAGCATGACTCATCAGATTGGTACGAAACACAATAAAAAACTTACATATAGAAAACAAAAACCCACAAAATATCGATCTAAGAGTACTTGCAGTAACTGCAAGCTAGTTCAAAGCTAATAAACACTTATAATTAATCATGTTCTTCCATACGAAATCCGTTAATCCGAAATTGCTCTGACGTTTGATGGTATAGCTATGAAACGACCAAGCAAATCATTAAAGAGGCCTTCACACGTCCGAGCAATCTTCGACTTTTAAGTCTGAGATAATTGGGGTATTGCTGTTTTCTTTTGATATGATTAGCATGGTAATAATAAAATAAAAATAACCTATTTTAGAAGTCATAGATTATAGTTTTTTTTTATTTGAAGTGAAGAGTCCATTACATATCGAGCTGAGATGATGAAATTAACAGAACAACTTGCGGCGGCAGATGGCGGCCAAGTACCTTGTGTAAACCGAATAGATACTTCATATTATAAAGCTAATAAACAGGTGAGATTATTAAATCCTTTTTTTAATTCATAATAAACAACAGTGAAATTTCGGTTGAAAAACCATGTCAACCAAGAATATACATTTTGTATATGGTTAGATATACAACTTTATATAAGATTAACAATCATCGAACCCCTCACTTTGAGCTTCAGATTTAGGTCCCTGGGTGTATAATTGAATATGAAAAGACATGTTTTAGTAAAAAATGAAACAAAATAGAGATTGTGGAACACATGATTAAAAAAGCAAACGAACGACACACACGCACACACATCAAAAGACATCGAAATGTCAATATACGATCTTCAACCATAGGCGTTATTTATTTTGTTTATGTGTAGAAAAATCTCTAATCATACGTGAAGAAACCCAAAATAAACAAAACGAATTCAAGGATCAAACCCAAAAAATTACGAGCAGGCGAAACTTTTATCCTTACCATTCATTTGCCATGATGACAATGAAAATAGTGAATGGAAAATATAAAGATATCATGATGATATCTTTGTATATCATCTCAAAATACAATGCTTATGTTATATCTTTTTAACTGTCCTGAAATACCACACATAGAAGAAGGGAGAAACGTATTGTAAAAGTTTCGAGCAAACTATTTCAGTCATCTTTTATCTGCAGTTACATGTACGACTCAAAATCTTTAATTTTTTACATTTCAGATGAGAATGTCACAAGAAGGAAAAAGAATTTTATCAAAACTCCCGAAACACAGATCAGACAAAGAAATACAATATGTAAGTACATACGTAAAGAAACTGTGTTTTACAAAAGAGTATGAAATTACCTTTGAAATGACGAATATCCCAAGCAATCGCGAGGTTTTATTAAAACAAGGAGATGTGGTATGGTTGCCAATGAGACAACTGAATGTGGATCAAACATCTGTCAATTAAGCAACATGATTAGTAATAACAATTTAAAAGCATAACTCATTCACTTTGAAGCATAGCTTCTTATTGTATATTACTGAATGGTAAATCATGCATAACCAAGGCTCCATGTTGAAGACCGTACTTTGACCTATAATGGTTTACTTTTATAAATTGTGACTTGGATGGAGAGTTATCTCATTGGCACTCACACCACATCTCCTTGTTTTGACTTGGCGTTCGTCGTCCGTTAACTTTTACAAACAATCTTCTCCTCTTAAACTACTGTGCCAGATTCAACAAAATTTGGCCACAATCATCATTGGGATAATTTATTTTTAGTTTAAAAATGTGTCCGATGACCTAGCATGCCAACCAACATGACCGACATGGCTAAAAATCAAACATGAAGATGCTTATTAACCTAGGTGAGCGACACATGCTCTTTAGTGCCTCTTGAGTTTCTTATACTAGTTTCATAAAAGGTAAAAAGATTTTTTCGTACTACTTCGTATTTTTTATAAAAACAACATAATTCTAGTTGGTTACATTATAGTCACTGAACTCTAGCGTGTTTTATATAATATCTACATTCTTAACAATCAATTGAAAGCCCGTCCGAGTTCTACAAACGTTTTGGAACTTGCGCGTAGTTTACCATCTAAAACAAGACCACTTTACCATAATGGGAAAATGGGTCAAATTCCAATGAGCACAAAAAATAATAGATTACATTAGCTTTCTGAAATATTTTTTGTTTGCTAAAGTATTGTGCTTGTCATATTTCGTATTCCAATTTGTACTAATCTTCTTGTCATCCGTTTCAATGAAATTTCCGTTAACTCTAAATTCGTCTTCATTCTCAAATTTTGCAATGAGAAAATAATAGGCTATTTTAACTATTCATACCATTAAAAACTGATTCAATGATGAAAATTTTAAGTATCGATCATTCGGAACCTTGAATACTCTACATACGACTTGAACTGATAAAAAATGAAATATCATAAAATTATCTGTTTCTAATTTGCAAGGACACCTGCATGCGAATATAATTATAATAGTTTCTTTAACGAAAACAACCCATATAACGTGTAGTTTGTTAAGGGCTGACATGCTATTGTTTTGTCTTGGATACATATTTTTTTTTCATTTTTTTTTTGGCTTTGAACTAGCTTTTAGTAACTAGGAGTACTCTCAGATCGGTACTTTAATTGTATCTTTAGTCTTTTTAGTTGTGGTTTGTGCTTTGTATCGATCTGATGAGTCAAGCCCTTTTCGATTGATTTTTATAGTTTGTTCTTGTGCTTATACACCACTGTCCAAGGTTATGGAAGGGTAAGGGGCCTGAAAAAAGTTAAACGCCAGTTTTGCCACATTCTTTATAGGCCTGTTCAAAGTCAGGATCCTGTAATTCAGTGGTTTTGGCATATTGCTGTTTATCATATTTGTCTGTAGTTTATTGTTTAGTACATAAATCGGGCGATTGGTTTTCTCTTTTGAATTATTTTACATTTTGTCATGTCGGGACCTTTTATAGCTGACTATGCTGTTTGTGTTTTGCTCATTGTTGAAGGTGACCTGTATTTGTTCACCTCCTGGTCCTTTGGTCTTTGGTGGAAAAGATAATAAGAAAAACGCGGTTAAGTTGACTTTTTGGAATAATAAGTAATAAGGTTTCTGAATTCATACTAGTAATTTAAATCTCATTCTTTTAAGGAAAATACTTTTCTCTTTGTGTCATTAGATGACGGAGATGTATAAAGTGTAGGCGTTTATTATCAAATAGTTATTTACAAATTGACTTTGTTTAAACGTGGACAGCTCGCAATGGGCTGATAATTGATGGGATAGACACGTATTTATAGGTCAGTGTTTCCTAGGGAGAAAAAACATTAACAAGATAAAAAGTAAAACATGTAAACAGACATTTATCATAGAATCGACAAAAAAATAAGCTAAATATCAATGACCGAATAATAGTAATTTTATTCAAATTTTAACAGTAGGATTGACTTTTGACACATTTCCATTACAATCTAGACACCATCTTTGAAAAGTGCGACAATTTGATTTTTATGTCGGAAATACATATTTCATTTTATATTGTATAATAATTAATAAATGTCAAAATGCAAAGATAATTTGCTTGTTGACTTTCAGGCTACGATAGCACTACGTAATGTGAAAACAATAGCAGACTATCCTCTACATATTCAGCAACAGCTTGCCATGTACGGTTACTTTGAAAAGTGAGTTGAAATATAAAGCAATATAAAGACCCATTACATCTCTTTTTTCTTCAACAATATGCGTACACTTATTTTAATTTGTTATACTGTGAATTCAGAAATTATTGCGTGCATTTATTATTGCGATTTTGCCATTTTAGACTAAAATACGATTTTAATTTTTGCAATATTGAGAAAAATCCTGTTTAATTTATATAAAATATTTCGAAATGCGAGTTGAAATTTTTGCGATTATAACCCTGTCGCATTGTTCGCAATAATAAAAACATCGCAATAATTTCTGAATTTACAGTAACCACAATAAGTATTCATTTGCGATCAATGAAAGAAATGCATAAAAAATAAACGCAAAACCATATGATATTGATACAGGTCAGCTTTTTGAAATACAGACATTAAATAAAATAAAAATTAAAGTCTACCTGCAACCTGAATAAGTTGTGGAATTCTTTTTAATTTTAGTATTTCTCAGTCTCAATCCGTCACATTTTCATCAAGTATATTATCCCAGAAAAACGATTTTCTTTAAAAAGGGGTCATGATTGTAACAACTTTCGTATATGAAAAAAAAAAACGTTTTTGGTAAATATTTGTGTTTATTTTTTAATGTAATGGTAGTTTATTTTCATTTTATAGTTATGAACCAAAACGAGTAATTGTTAAGGAAGGTCGTCCATCAGAAAATTACTATATCCTCATCTACGGTCAGGGTAAGTTCATAGAATAGATTACACTTTTTAGGGCTGAAAAACATAGATCCATCTTGCATGACAGTTTTTAGGGGTTTTTTTAGACGTGCAGTATATATTTTACAACGGAGTAGGCCCGGTAAGGCCCCAAAATATAGCATTTAAAAAATTTGTTAAAAATGTAAACTTTTAGCTATTTATTGGAAAGTTGAATATTTTTGTTACATACATATGGGCTGTTTTTGACAATACATTGCACATGCATCAGGTACTAGCATCATTAGTTCTAATTCTAATTTAGACTGAACACGAATGCGGCCACTTCCATTTTTGACAAAAACCATCGGAAAAGTGACATTTTGTGGCATATTTGATAGATATTTCATATTTAAGCTTGAATTGAGGCGTTTTTAATGTTCAAATCAGTTCAAATCTTTTACATAAACTAATTGAATCGACTGAAGAAAAACATATCACAAATCTTTGATCAGATGTACTTCAAATTTTAGGCCAAAATTAGCCCTTACCGGACCTTCTCCTTTATTATTATAGTATCATAAACTCAACATTAAAATTAAGACACTTGGAAATGTTTACAAAAGATAATGTACAGACCTAAATCGGAACGAGGACGTGACTTGTTTTGAAAAAGTGTTGATTATTAAGTAATTGTGCATTTTTTCTCTCGTTCTAAATATTGATGTCGTATTTGTCGTCTCAACAATCCATAATGCATATTATATTTAATTTCCATGTATAATCAATTCCTCTAATCCAGTGTTATGTATAATCTTTGTTGATTGTTGGTTGATTAAGTGGCAAATATTTCATGCATGCTCCGGACGAGAACAAATTAACGATAAATACAATAGGTTGGTCCTGTCAAAAGGGCCTTCCGGGATGAAGGTAGGACAAAATTGCCACTGACAAATGAGTTCATATTGGATAGAGACAGAAATTTTGCCTTGAAACAGGCCACGTACGAACCCCTCAAAAACTTGATGCAAGGTTTTTTTTACGTGCAATGAGCGTGACACTCTCTCCACATAAGGCATCGGATTTAACGTCCCAAATCTGACCGGACTTGGCAGCGTACTTGTACATCCCGCACAGCAAAACGGACGCCCCACTTTAGTAAGGGTTTTACTGCCGGTTGGAAGAAGACCAAGAATGACTATATTTCTATTCCCCAGTCTCCCTTGGGTTATTATCTTTGTGCAATATTTTTGTTGTTGCTTTAAGTCACTGGCTTAGAACACTGTCGATTGTCATTTTTGATATTAGTCAAATTTGGTATCCCCGATATTTATAATCATGACTTACACTTCCGTTTTAGTTTGATGTCAAAGGTGTTTATACAAAAATGGTTTTATAAATGTTTGGATTCTATGAAGGTAAATCAAGGAAAGCACTACGGACACACCAAATTTATGAAGTGTTATTTTCACATTGTTCAATATCCTGTAACCATATCAATACTCAAAATCTTGTCGTCCGTATAGAAAAGTTCTGCCAATCCTACAACTTCTTATCTTTCTATTATAGAAGGAGTTAAATACATGGGGAACTAGTATGCATATGAATCTGTCATAGATAAAATAATCACATTTTTATTTTTTGCAGCAAGTTAAATAGGTTCCAACCAGATTGTTGCTATTGTATTTATTTATCATAATGATTGGTAAGATCATTCATGAAAATGATATTTTAATCAAATTTATTGATAAGAAACCATCGTCAGAATTTAAACAATGAAGACCATTTGCTGCATTAAGAAACCATCGTCAGAATTTAGTCAATGAAGACCATTTGTTGCATTAAGAAACCATCGTCAGCATTTAGTCAATGAAGACCATATGTTGCATTAAGAAACCATCGTTAGCATTTAGTCAATGAAGACCATATGTTGCATTAAGAAACCATCGTCAGCATTTAGTCAATGAAGACTATTTGCTGCATTAAGAAACCATCGTCAGCATTTAGTCAATGAAGACCATTTGCTGCATTAAGAAACCATCGTCAACATTTAGTCAATGAAGACTATTTGCTGCATTAAGAAACCATCTTCAGCATTTAGTCAATGAAGACCATTTGTTGCATTAAGAAACCATCGTCAGCATTTAGTCAATGAAGACCATTTGTTGCATTAAGAAACCATCGTCAGCATTTAGTCAATGAAGACCATTTGCTGCATTAAGAAACCATCGTCAGCATTTAGTCAATGAAGACTATTTGCTGCATTAAGAAACCATCGTCAGCATTTAGTCAATGAAGACTATTTGCTGCATTAAGAAATCATCGTCAGCATTTAATCAATGAAGACCATTTGCTGCATTAAGAAACCATTGTCAGCATTAAGTCAATGAAGACCATTTGTTGCATTAAAAAACCATCGTCAGCATTTAGTCAATGAAGATCATTTGCTGCATTAAGAAACCATCGTAAGCATTTAGTCAATGGAGACCATTTGATGCATTGATTGCATTAGATCGTATTTTGAGATAATTTTTATTTTAAATGTTTATAAAGACGAGCACTGTGTGTTAATAGAGAGAAATGTAATATGTTATTACAAGCAGTAAAAACAGTTGAGTGTTCCTGGCGTCAATTTGATTTGACGATCGCAACTGACGCAAGTAAAACTTTATGTGCGACCGTCAACTCTGGAATTGACGCCGTTGCCGCTTCCAACACAGTCAGTTATTTATTCAGTAGCTGACAAGAAGTGATAGTTTTGCTTATTTGACAGAAAATCAAAGCAATATGAGCGCGATGTATCATGTTTTAGAATTAGTTAACCCCATTTTTCAGTTATGTTTGCCAAGACAGATGAAGGAAACATGGCGAAAAGACTAGGCTCATTGTATAGAGGTTATTACTTTGGTGTAAGTATAATGATACATATTTTCTCCCAACTGTTTTGACAAAACGTTTTGGAGATGTCTTCATCAAAGAATACACTTTATATATATGTATGAAAGAGGATATTGAACATTTTTCAATGATACAGTAAATTATATAGACTTTTGTAGTACGATTTCCTTTAAAGAGACGTATATGGAATATCACACTGTTATACCCATGCTCAATAAGATGAGTGTATTACATAAGTGATACAATAGTGATTTTACACACATTTAATTTTTCTTTGAAAAGTAGATGCCATAACATATAATTGATTTTTTTCAAAATACTTGAAAATACGAAATTTTGGAAAGTGGTTTTCACCGCTAATGATAAAACACTTAGTTTGTCAATCCTTAAACATCCAATACATCCATCATAACTATTGATTGAACGGCAGAATACAGACATCTACTCTGTTATACCTAGTTAGAAAAAAAAATGGATATTTTCATACAACAGAGGAAATCTCAAGTAAGGTACACTACACACTCACAAACAAAGAATTACAGTGTTTATATTTCGATATACGAGATGTTGATCCAGATTGTTTTTTTTTTCTGACTGCGATAATGAGGCGAGTGACACATTGTGTTAGGTAATTCTTAAGGTTCCACTAAAGTCATAATATAGGACACTTCATAAACATCTAAACTTTGCCTGTATTTTTCAACCTATAATGAGTAAATTCCTAAACTATGAGAACATATGTTCATTTAAACATACTTAACATATACACACTGTGTAAATTGTAAATAAACTTGAAATTGTTATGTTGTGGCCAAACCGGTTCTTGGGGTGAACACTAAATTTTCAAAAAATCTGGAGGCCTGCGAGACGACTTAATTTGTTTAAAATTGGTATGGACAAATACTGTTATATCTAATGCAGGGCTAGCTCATGTTGATTTTTCAGAAAATGTATTGATTTTCGAGTTTCAGTTAATTTCATGTATCTAGGTGAACAAATATCGAAGTTACAATACAGAAATTGGACAAATATGCCATTAAAACATATGTATGTGACAAATCAACATGCGCTTGCCCTGCATTACATGTAACAGTATTCGTTCATACCAATTTCAAGCAAATTAAGTCGTCTCGCAGGCCTCCAGATGTTTTTGAAAATTTAGTGTTCACCCCAAGAACCGGTTTGGCCAGAGCATAACAATTTCAAGTCTATTTACAATTTACACAGTGTGTATATGTTAAGTATGTTTAAATGAACATATGTTCTCATAGTTTAGGACTTTACTCATTATAGGTTGAAAAATACAGGCAAAGTTTAGATGTTTATGAAGTGTCCTATATTTTGACTTTAGTGGAACCTTAACTATATTTACAGCTATTGGAATTTTGCTCTTTTAATCTTTATTATATTTCAGCATACTGGTACAAGTCTTTTCTGACACATGTTAACACTAGCCTATATTTGCTTATTTCCGTTACCCCCTTTTTAATGGTCACGTTCCAATATGTCAGTGTCAGTTCATTAATATTATCTTGACAATTTTATATAACTGGTTAACCATTTAATTACAGGAATTAGGTATTTATAACGGAACCGCAAGACAGTCCTCAATTATAACGGAAGAGTATACCGAATTATTACGCGTCTCTGATATAGTAAGTTCTATTTTTCTGCTACAACAAATATTAAGTTTCAAATAAAATAAGGTTCCACAATATTATCACTTGATGTCTAGGTTTTTTACAGGAAGTTGGTTGAAGTGGAATGAATCTGAAACTATTTTTACATCATGTATGGACTGTTTCCTTAGTTTAAGTAGATCAATATAATTATAAGCTTCATGTTTACTAGAACACGTCCTATAACCGACTATCACTACGGCAGATGCAATAGGATCTGTGTTCTCGATTGACATTACACACAATTGTTTTGGCTATCAAGTACACGATTTTGTCTGCTTATCCGATTGCAATTGCAATGTAATCGTGGACAGTAGATTTAAAAAAAAATTTGTTACCTATTGCATCTGCAGTGCCGACAGCTAGTATTAGGGTATGTAGAACGAACTCAAATTCACGGCAACCAATTATACAAAAAAGACCTCTTCATACAGCTGTACGCCAAATACAAATCTGAAATAATTGAAGGTGTCCTGTAAAATAATGTTTCATCATGATAGTTGATCAGAATATACAGACATACTAAGGGCTAACCGCTATTCCAAGAAGCATTATGGACCAACTGAAATTGGATTTAGAAGGAGATCTGACTTTTTAAATGTCAGATTTGAATAGATGTTCACAACAAATTCTTTAAAACGTTCTTGAAAATATAAAAGAAGTATGATCGTGTTTGTGAGCTGCCATAAAATATAACTTATGTTTGGTCTTTCGTTGCCTGTTTCAAATCAATGAAATCATGTTTTGTAACGATATTAGCTTTTAGATGTCGAAATACGAATCTGGTGCAGTAAAATTGATACCGTTTATTAATAGCAAAGCTACTTTGAAACATCATTTATTTAATAATTTGCTGCATTTTCAATAATTCTGTTTATTGTACATTATAACATTAATAAATATTATAAATATATATCGAGGTTGTAAAATAGAATGCTTGCAAATTAATTTCTTTGTAACATCACAAGCAAAAGTGCATTTGTTTTGCTAAGGCCGACTTTGCCTGAGGGAGTTGAAACCTTAGTTTTTTTTTATAATTTCAAAATTAATAAACGGGCAAATTTAGACAGGTTTGTTATTAATCATGTCAGTACCGAAGTACTGACTACTGAGCTGATGATACCCTCGGGGACTGATAGTCCACCAGAGGTATCGACCCAGTGCTGTAAACAATGAAAACAGCACGTTATAAATTTAATAAATAGTAAAGAAATGATAAATTCTTGTTCTTACTATTATCATCATGGTGTCATTTTTAAGGTATTATAATGAAAACTGTAGAGTAAATGTTGGGTACATACAGTTGGTTTCATGTTACTAGGATTTATCCTTAAACAAATTTATTTCAGGATTTTAAAAGGATCTTTATGGGTGGCGATGTGTCTAGAAACCCTGAAGGAGACAATTTCCTTACGTAAGATAGCAATGATAAGCAGCATCTTTAATAACTTATTTTTGGTTGTTTGTAAATACAATAAGCTTTATGCATATATTTCTGAATAAAGAAATAAAATTTTAAAAACTTCTGTTTTTTGTTGTTGTAAATGATATAACGTATTTCTGTATACCTTATTGGAATCAAATATAAAATTTCTGTTATATTTTATTTGAACATTTGTAAATTGAGTTACATTAGGAAAATTTGATAAGGACAATATTTTGTTGATGTTGTTTTGCTGTTATATTTTTGAGTCAATAACCGAAAGAATGAATAGATAAACGTGTACTCTACGCATTGAAAATTTTCCAACTATAGTGGTTTGCCCTCATTTTGAAATTAATTTTCTCTTTGCAGACATGTTATTTGTCTAAAAGGATGGCCGTTACATGTGTTAAAAGGAAATAATAAAGCCATTATGACAAGCTACTTTCAGTAAGTAATCCAGTGCGTTTAATAATGAAACGAGTCATTCTTAAAATGACTGCTTTTTTGGTTAAAATGAGAAAATCATAAATTGTCTGACATTATTGCACACAACTTTAAATTAACAAACTATTTTCGTAATTATAAAAAGTAAAGAAAAAACTTCGCCATATATCAGTCACTATAAAATTACGTTTTTTTTTTGGTGTTTTCCACGCCCATTTTGCTCGACGGACAACAATTTATGATAAACGAACCAAGGAAAGAACATCTGACTCCCGTACAACAATCTACTGAAAATTATTTGATATTTATAAAGTCTGCATAGTTTTTCTTTCTTTTCAGACGAGAAGCGATAATGACACGTGATAGTAATTTATCCGAATGGATTTTTATAGTTAAGTCGGTAGGTGAGAATACTGAAAAACTTAATTATCTACGATATCTATATTCACTGATATTTATTTTACAAATTTGAATATAGGTAAGACTTTGTTTTACTTTAGTGAGATATATTTTACTTACTTACATGTAACTTCATGTTAGCAAGTTTTACTAATGTCTTGATTTTCACATTTAATTCATACATCTATAACACTTTTGTTGTGTTCGAAACGTTTTACTTTTTTGGTCTTTTGGAAAATATATAATATATATATTATATATAAACAAGTCTAAATTGAAAACAACGTTCAAACCTATGATTGCGTTGGATAAAAACTGCAATTTTTATACGTGTGCATGTAAAACAAATTTCTTGGTAGAGGGGTCTAAATACAGCACAAACAACATTTTCCAAAAGACCAAAAAAGTGTAATATATTTTAACAAAACGCATTTGACTAACAGGTCGAACAACGGATTTTCTTAAACTCTGCTAACTGCCATTGGCGATTGCCAAATAAATTGATCACCAGATTTAACAAAATGGATCTTAATATTAAACAGAAAAAAATTAACTCGCGGAAAGATGGTATTCCACAAACTTGAGGTGCAAAAATTTGTACACCATATCCAGATTTCGACAATTAATGTCTCTTCAGTGATGTTAGGGATCGAAACGGTATTTGGAAGGCCATATAATTTTCCTCAATTTAGGATAGACTCTTGAATTTTAAAGAGTCGAAATAGGATGAACGGATCATATAAACCCTAAGGAAAATATAATACAAGCCCAAACGAAAAAATATAAACAAGTCTAAATTGAAAACAACGTTCAAACCTATGATTGCGTTGGATAAAAACCGCAATTTTTATACGTGTGCATGTAAAAAAAAATTCTTGGTAGAGGGGTCTAAATACATCACAAACAACATTTTCCAAAAGACCAAAAAAGTGAAAAAGTATATTTTAACAAAACGCATTTGACTAACAGGTCGAACAACAGATGTTCTTAAACTCTGCTGACTGCCATTGGCGATTGCCAAATAAATTGATCACCAGATTTAACAAAATGGATCTTAATATCAAACAGAAAACAATTAACTAGCGGAAAGATGGTATTCCACAAACTTGAGGTGCAAAAATTACACCATATCCGGATTTCGATAATTAATGTCTCTTCAGTGATGTTAGGGATCGAAACGATATTTGGAAGGTCATATAATTTTCCTCAATTTAGGATAGACTCTTGAATTTTAAAGAGTCGAAATAGGATGAACGGATCATATAAACCCTAAGGAAAATATAATACAAGCGTGAAAGGTATATTTTAACAAAACGCATTTGACTAGCAGGTCGAACAACGGATGTTTTTAAACCCATATATATGTATTTAGACCCCTCTACCAAGAAATTTGTTTTGCATGCACACGTATAAAAATTGCTGTTTTTATCCAACGCAATCATAGGTTTGAACGTTGTTTTTAATTTAGACTTGTTTATATTTTTTCGTTTGGGCTTGTATTATATTTTCCTTCGGGTTTATATGATCCGTTCATCCTATTTCGACTCTTCAAAATTCAAGAGTCTATCCTAAATTGAGGTAAATTTAATGGCCTTCCAAATACCGTTTCGATTCCTAACATCACTGAAGAGACATTAATTGTCGAAATCCGGATATGGTGTACAAATGTTTGCACCTCATGTTTGCGGTATACCATCTTTTCCGCAAGTTTAATGTTTTTTGTTGTTTGGTATTAAATTTATATTAAGATCCATTTTGTTACATCTTGTGATACGTTTATTTGGCAATCGCCATGGCAGTCAGCAGGGTTTAAGAACATCAGTTGTTCGACCTGTTAGTCAAATGCGTTTTGTTAAAATATACTTTTTAACTTTTTGGTCTTTTTGAAAATGTTGTTTGTGCTGTATTTAGACCCCTCTACCAAGAAATTTGTTTTGCATGCACACGTATAAAAATTGCGGTTTGTATCCAACGCAATCATAGGTTTGAACGTTGTTTTCAATTTAGACTTGTTTATATATATATATGTCTATCTTAAATTGAGGTAAATTATATGGCCTTACAAATACCGTTTCGATTCCTAACATCACTGAAGAGACATTAATTGTCGAATTCCGGATATGGTGTAAAAAATTTTTGCACCTCGTGTTTGCGGTATACCATCTTTTCCGCAAGTTTATTGTTTTCTGTTTGGTAATAAATAAATAAAAAGATCTATTTTGTTACATCTTGTGATCCGTTTATTTGGCAATCGCCAATGGCAGTCAGCAGAGTTTAAGAACATCAGTTGTTCGACCTGCTAGTCAAATGCGTTTTGTTAAAATATACTTTTTCACTCATTTGGTCTTTTGGAAAATGTTGTTTGTGCTGTATTTAGACCCCTCTACCAAGAAATTTGTTTTGCATGCACACGTATAAAAATTGCGGTTTTTATCCAACGCAATCATAGGTTTGAACGTTGTTTTCAATTTAGACTTGTATATATATATATATATATATATATAATTAAATGTTATAATCGGCGTTCTCCTTTTGAGCCATTAGAAAGAAATCATTTACGCCAATACTCTTTTTGAAAAAGAAAACAATGTGTTTTCAAAAACAAGGTTCTTGGAACATGACCTTTGGTGAAACAGAATATTTATCAACTGAGAATTGATTGAAATATATTTAACAATACTTGCCAGTACCAGGCACTGGTATTTTACTTGACAGCGTCGGTGATGAAAAAATACAAATATTTTAAGTGGCCCTACATTTTCGCAAAATAATATTTGTCTCGCAAATATTGTATAATTAACGTTAGCTTCATGTCTGGAAAATAAGTTTAATATACACGTTTGTTAAAAAAAATACATGTATTTACGTGTAATTTTTCTTATTATAGGGATCAATTCGAGTAATGAAGAAACTGGTTAAAACGAAATCAAATACAAGTAAGAGAACGGGAATGCACAAGAAAGTTGCACATACCGATGGCTATTCTGCATTCCAGGCAAATGAGGATGAATTTCAACGTTTTAATTTATATAACAGTATTGAACTTCCTCCACCACTTACAACAAAAGGCGACACTAAACATGATGTAACAGGGCATAGAGAATCATCACTCACTTTGCCGTTGATGCTGAAATTACAACGAGCATGCAGACCTCATACTGCATACGCTGACTATCAGTCAAAAGGACGGTCTATGAGAAAACTTTCGTTGTCATGGTCAACTGGTTATGAACGACAATGTATATCAAAGGTACAAAACATGTAATAAATGTATGTAAAAATTACCATGTAGTGGGGCCTCAATGGACGAGTGGTCTAAGTATTTCATCTACTGTATCACTAACATTTCAATACTGAGGCACGTGGCAGATGCGTTGGACTCCAATCTTCAATGACTAGGATTGTCAGTTTTCTTGCTGAAGGTCGGTGGTTCGCACCGGTTACTATGGCTTCATCCACCAAAAAGAATCTTGCCACCACGAAATAGCCAATAGTGCTGAAAGTTTCTTTAAAACACCAACAATCCATCAAGCAATCACAAAATTGCATAGAAAAAATAGCATCAATTAGCTACTACTTATTTAACAAGTAAAATGATGAAACAAAAATAAAATTGATAACAAGATTATTAGACATGGGATACTCAATTCACAATTTACAATTCCATGTTTAGTGATCCACACAATCTGGATGGAAAGTAATATTATATTATAAAAGTTCGCATCATAAATTTCAAGTTGATGTCACAACTTCATGATGAACTACTCCTAACCAAAACTTTAACCAAATACATCATTACGAGCAGACGGACGTACAACCTAGGAAAAATAAAAAATGGTCGTTGGGTTCATTTGGAATAAAAAAAAAATATGTAAGACGATTTTTAAAAGCTGCACAACAATATTTTCAATTACTTATTATTTATACATATAAGTAACAAAACAAAAATTATAATGGGTAAGCAGTTGTATAGACCTGTAAAATATCCTGCTTTCTATGTTTGCTATATACATGTGATAGACATCTCAAGGATAAATGTCTTTCGCGTTAAAGTCAAACCCTAAACTAGGTCTTGATAGTTTAAAAACAAATTTTAAAGAATTTTATAACATTGGTACTTAAACCAAATTTGGATCAATAATTCAGAGATTAATGCAAAAGAATTACCATCTGTAAAGCTAACTTAGAAGAAAATGACGAATGTGTAATGCGTCTCTTTCTTCGAAGGTCACTGGAGATAATCTAGTCGTATATGTGTCCATCGTACGTTCTCTGTATTAAAACATTTTGAAACCGTCTAGTTATCCATAGATTCAGCTGCATAGATTATCAGTGACTTCCAATAGTTCAATTTGTTCAAGAACTCACTGAATTATCATATTGCTCAGAACATTGAATGCAAGTCCAACATCCTTAAGTTGCATTCAATATTATACATATAAATTAAAAACATGTGCATATACGCTATACGTACATTGAACTTAAATAATTGTCCTGTTTTATTCTTTTTCAGAATATTTCAACCTTGTCTACACCAAGCATCCAAACTCCTCGTAACCAGTCATCAAGGTGTTCTAATGAAAATCATTTACCAGGTAATTGGACCACAATTTAACATTCATATAATGTTAGCACGTAAGGTTTGAAGTTTGATATAAATTTACATCGAGTTTGCTGGTGTTGGAGGCGGCTGTATGAGATCTAAGAACCAATGACATTCATTCATCCAACAATAGAGGGCTAACCTACACTATGCTTAGCCTAAAGTACATGGTCCCTTTAGGAAATGGTGGCCGAATAAATAGTGTATCTATCCCTTATTATTAGTGACTGACATAAAAAAGGCAAAAATTAGTTTGTAATGCATGTTATGAAATTTACATGATAATCTGAAAGATTGCGATAAATACTGCACATGCCATGCAGTTTGTAAGATAGAGATATAACTTATAATAACTAATAAATAGCCTTTTCACACCATTTAAATTTTTTGTCAATTTTGTTTACAGAAATCAGGATTTAGTAAAGATAAAAACCATAGTAATATAAGTTATATAATTCTTTTAAAGATACAGCTTTCCAACTTACATGCAGCATATTGTCTTTACATAAAGAATATATATAAACACAGATCACCAAGTCGTTTCCATTTATTTAAACTAGTAAAATAAATGAATGGAGAAAAACACGTTCTAAATTTAGTCTGTCCAAAGCGATTTCCAGGATTTTCCTTGAAATCATTGGATCAGTTTTTATTTTAATGGGAAATCACACTATTCTATTTAAACCATTTTCATAAAGCAAGACAGAAAATGAATATCTATATTTACAAGTACTTGTTAGAGCTGTTTTCCTAATGCGTGTAGTTTAAAGGTTTGGTTGGCTTGCTTGCTTTGTTTGTATGAATGTTTGCTCAAACATTGTAATTAAGATTGACATCTGCAATCAATAGATAGACGGGGCTTCAGCTTGTATACATTATACTCAATAACATTTAAATATAATGTATACAAGCTGAAGCCCCGCCTATCTATTGATTGCAGATTTCAATCTTAATTACAATGCTTGAGCAAACATTTGTACAAACAAAGCAAGCAATCTATTCAAACCTTTAAACTACAAGCATTAGGAAAATAGCTCTAAAAGTTACATTAATTTAGTTCAAGATAAACAAGGAAATGAGATAAAATGAATTATAAAAAGTTAAATTTTAACAGATCATGTCTGATAAATTAACTAATAAAATATATAAATTGTTAATAATTTCATTTTGAATATATGAATATAGCTTTGTATTAATCAAATTTATTGATGTATTAATGTATGAGCTAACAAGCGAATATAAAGATAGAGTTGTAGAAATTATGAACTATATTGTAATACAATTGGGATGCTGAGTTAACCAATGGTTATCTTGCTTAGTAAATATTTATTACATCAATTATTAAATGTTTTGAAGATATGCCACAATCTGATTGACAAATTCATATTTACATAAATGTTAACATAAAAATAACTTTATTTTAAACATATATATGACTCTGATTACCTCAATTTCAAAAACTTTTTTGTACATCTGTGTTTATTTAAAGCAATACATCCGATGAAATAGTATGACAACTATTATCGAAATACCATAATTCTTGGCTTCCTGTTTACACATACATTTCTCACATTTTTATGAAAAATAAGTCCTTGAATGACGTTTGCCTACAATTTTGAATGCAACTAAATACTTTATGATAATATCAAAATCGTAAGGATAATAGTATTGTACTTTCTAATAAGCATTCCAAATCATAGTTTCATAATTATATTATATTAGACGTCATTCACTGCTCAGTTGCTGATTTGTTAATACAAAGATAAATGCAGTAATTCCATATTGATAGAATTTTAGTTTATTTTATTTTTCTTATATGGATTTGATTTTGGATAAAACAACATATTCACCTGCGAAAAATGAATATTAACCGCGCAAAACGTCGCGTGCATTGACGTATATAATTATGGTAAACTTGTTTGATTTACCATTAGTTTTGGTAAATAATTGTCATTACATACATGTAGATGTTCTCTCTCAGAATACGGATTAAAACAATTGCTGTCTTTTGTTTCAGTAAATATGTGGTTTTATTGACTTTTGAAAAAACTGATATTCACTTCGGCCGTTGCGTCTGTGAATATCAGTTTGTCATAAGTTAATAAATCCACATATTTACCTCATCAAAAGACAGTAAGTGTATAGCATCTTACAAATATACCTTTTCGTTTTGACATTCAAATCTTGATAATATTTTGTTTTAGTTATTTTGGTACTGACAATAATCCCATTTAGAAATCAAGAGTTTCTGGTTTGGTTTTAATTTAACATACAGAACGAGCTTGTTTTTATCGAATGTAAAGAAATCGGAATTTACAAAAAGTCTGTTTGCATTTTCTTACAAATTTGGAAGAACAATCGCTAGGGTAAATCCCAAACGTTCATTATCGTCTAATTAACTTTATTACAGGATGTGTCATGTTCACCTAGTAGAAACTACTTTAGAATCTTACGCCGCGTGCGACGAATGCATAGCATGCATATGTTCACTATGCCCAAGCATCCAGTCTCAAACCATCTTGAGTTGATGGTCTAACTCTTTTCACTGTTTTGTTTTAATTATCAAATGTAAATTTTGCACATGGAATTGAGATGAGCTCACATCAGTAAAAAACTTAAAAATGTCCATTAAGACTTATCTCCATTACAGTAAGATTCCAAGTCTAACCGTCAACTCACCCAAAAAGATGACGATACCAGTCCCTTGACTAAAACTGACGATTTGGTATATACCATTGTAATTTTTAAAAATCGTTTGTTCTTAATAGCTGTCAATTCTTCAAAAGACGAAGGACGACGGACAATCTTAGATGACTGGGATGCCGCCACTAAATTTAAGGTATGTTAAATGAAAATTGTTTGTCGTATATCGATGTACATTTATGTATTTTATTTTTCTATAACTTAAATTTTGGGATTTAAAGGCAGTTGCAGTTGACCCATGATTTTTAGCACTTGTTTTTCACTGAAATTTTTATTTTAGTTGTTGATATAAATTTAACTTGTATGTATAGTTTCTGTAAATATTGAAAAAGTTGTATTTTAAAAAATTGACATCAGAAGTACAAATCATTTATTGTTATTCAAATGCCAATTATTGGATCATGGGCAGTATAGATATTGCAAGGTACCGAGTTCTTCATATAATTCACAGATTTACACACTTCTGATTAATTTATTTCAGAAAACAGAGCTGACTGAGGCAGATCTGAACCCACAATTTGTTCATGTGCAGACCATAACTGAAGGACAAACTTTCGTAAGTAGCTAGATTTAATTAAAACAGAACAAAGAAAATTAACTCTACTTTTCTTTTAAAAATGTTATGCTGCACGATTCACATTCAACGAATATAATTATAATAAAACAATGTTCCGACCGGCAAGGTTTGGGATCAATAATAAAAATTATATTAATTTTGCTTTAATGAACTTTTCCCAGAAAAAGGGTCTGAATAATCATGATGATAATGTTTTAATTGTATTGTCAAAACGAACTTCATTATCATGAGAGATATTTTTCAAAATAAAAAACAAAACAAAACAATACAACATAATAAACACATCTTAAAATTGCCACAATGAAAACAAATCCCAGTTTAATGAAGTTATAATCGTAATAGTGTTTTATACTTGCAGGGATTGCAGTATATTTTATACAAAAATCAAGTTCAGCCTAGTTTCATTGTTATAAGCAATGGCGCTGAATGTGTTAAGATTAATAGGCGGGTGTTCGAAGAAAATTTAACATACCACTTGAAAACTGACCTGAAGAAAAAGGCAAGTATCAATTAAAACTTTATAATCAATTATAAATTGTTGTATAATTATGATTAATGCCAAAGTAATGGGCTAGATTCGTTGTTATATTAATAAAAGCAAATATTGGTTGGTAGTAATGACATTAAAATTTATGAAAAATTACTATTTACACCAACGCTGAAAAAATAATCCTTTTGCAATGGGAAAACGACTCAACACTCGATTTGGTGCAAGGACACAGTCCCTAGTGTGAACAGTGTATAACTTGCCAATTTTTTTCATACACTTTCCCAATTTATTTCTTGATATTTTATGCATGAAATATTAAGTAAGGGGATGAAATTACATATTAAAAAAAATTTGAGAACTGAATCTTTATGTTAAGTAGTGATTAGGTCCAGTTAAAAAAGGTCAAAAATTAGTATGTCTCAAGCTGTCAAACTGAATTTTAGACCCCCTTAACATAGAATTGTCCATATTTTGAGTTAGAGCTGATAGATTTTTCTATAATTTTGATATTATTTGTCCCAATAGTACATGTAGTACACTACACTGTAAAAATCTTTTTGAGATAGAGCGGGCGCGATTTTTTTAATTTGAATTTATTGTCTAAAAGAAATGCACTACGAAATAACTGTGTTCTCGGGTCATATAATAAGGAAAAGAAAGAATGTAAAATATCAACTCATGACGCAAAATATCCACATGCACATAAAAAACAAAAGCAAAGGAACAGCGCTTGTATTGTAGTTCTTCATTTCAAATGAGAGCTCTTCCACCTGCCTGGAGCCAAATCTCTCACCTAACAAGTTCGGCGATGCCCCCCCCCCCCCCCCCCCAATTCTTGAACCGGTTTGAGTGGAATTATTTGCTCAATGTCGATCACATTACAATACACTGGGGAATAAAGCTGTGTGGTAAAATCAACTCATTGTAATGCGAATATGCACAAAAGTATCAACGATTATTTTGGAAACACAAATTTCCATTACAAAATGATAACTCTGATAGCTTCTTTTTGCAATTTTATTGGGGTCAATACAATTGCAGGAAATAAAAAAACAAACGAAAATAAGCAGATCACTACACAGAAGTCTAAAGATTGAGCAACTTTGTCATATCCTAAAAAGTTCAGGTTTTGTTTAATTCACCGCCTAAAAGTGTCAGAGTAATATAGTATTGTGCAAATTACCGTCTTTCTGGTTATTTTTCTCTTTTAAAATGGTAAATTGAGTACTGCCAGATCAAGTTAACTGAAATTTGGATGAACTCAATTAAAAAGTTCATGCAAATCCAACTGCCTTTACTCACATGCTTGCTTGTTTGTTTTATACATACATAATAGAAAAACAAAGGATATGGGGTATCCATCCATTACACAAAATCAGTACATGCACAGCAAAAAACACACAAAAAGCAAAGGAACAGCGCTTTTATTGCTGTTCTTCATCTAATATACATGCCTGTATTACCTTTAAGCTGATTTCAGTTGTCTACTATCTTATAAAACTGTTTAATTTATGGATATGGTTTTGTTTATCAAAGATGGGGTTCAGTTTGTTTTGATGTATGAACGGAAACCATTTTTTTTTAATTTGCCCGACATTGATTTAATTAAATGTTTTATATGTTTTTAAGGTTCCTCCTTATCCAACAGATGAATATATGCAAGACAGATTGGTAACACAAATGAACTGGGAATCATATAAAGACATTTTGATAAACAATATTGTGGAAGAGAGTAAGGGACACAATCATGACAGATATAGTTATAAATATCCAGGAATAAAACTGTGATACGATTTGGACAGATATATCTATATTATATATAAAGTCAAGACTGTGATGCAATTTGGATAGATTTGTCCATAAATGTGCTTGAATAAAACTGTGATACAATTTGGACAGATATATATATACAAATGTCCTGGGATAAAACTGTGATACAATTTGGACAGATAATCCATAAATGTACTTGAATTAAACTGTGATAAGATTTAGACAGACATAGCTTTGAATTTCATGGAATAAATCTGATGTGACCTTGACATACATAACGATATTTCTTTTCTTATTAGATAATCTATGATAAGACTTTTACAGGGACAAATGTATCCGTATAAATGATCTTGAATATATTGTGATAAAATTTGGACAGATATTTGTAGAAATGTACGCCATAAAATAAAAATTTAGACGAAATCTCTGGACGAATACATGTAAAGTTATCAGCGACACAGAGAGAAACTCGTCACAAGTAATAAAAGTGCTAAATGTTCTTGACAAACACTGAATAGATCAGAATTTAGATTAAATAGACGTTACTTATATGTCATTGATCGTTTTGCCTGTTTTGAACTGAATTGTATTGGTGCTTATAAATAGAAATAAAGGAATAAAAAAAATGATATGGGTGTACATGCGAGGAAATTAAAAAAATATATATTCTCATTATGATGCTTACTTAATCAATCTGTCAATATATATGTTACAGGCATTTTCTAAATTTAGGCATTTTCTAAAATGCCTGCTAGATCAGTCATTTTACATAATGACTAATTTTTCTAGGCATGTTATGCCTGAATTTATTTTAGAGAATGAAATGTTAAAAAACAATTGAAAGCTTTGAACAACAGATCAGTTTTATTTATGAACATTAATTATTGAATGTTAAAGCTTGCATTTTAAGAATTTTAATAATCAAAATTAAATATTTTACTGAATTATTCCAAATTCACACAAGCACAGAACTCGACAATAAGTTGTTATTTCTTAAAATGTTTGAATGACCGAACTGTTACACAATATTTGTCCTGATTTTTTGCAAATGCATTGTTTGGCGTAAAATCTGGTTTTAGCACTTCGACCACATTTGGAGAAACCTGGATCATGACACATTTAGCTCTTTCATTACATTTTCTGATAAAACACTTAACGTTGAACAACATTGAGTTTCGCAATAAGCACACGCGTCACACATGAATATCTTCTTTTTCAAATGTTCCCAAAAGATTAAAACACATAATCATGGTTAGTTTGACTTGTATCTTTTGACTTATAGCTTTTAACGGACTGAAGCAGACCTGCTCATGACGGGTGATGCATCTATAGCAGGAGACCCTTACCCTGTCAATGCACCGTTATTTGTCACTTCTTGGTCGATTTTCCAGAATTTAGCCACAGTTACCTACTGTCTCATTAATTCATCAGATTGCAAAGACCCAAGAATTCCCTTGAGGCAGTGAAGATGAAGATACTCATATCTTAAATTTGTATCACAACCAAACACGGCCTTGTATGGCAAAACCCATGCTATCGAGGGGAATTTGTTTGGATGTGGATGTGGATGTATAAATTCTCATTATTTCTGAATTGGGACATTAACTGTATTGCCGCATGTTAGTAAGGTGCAACACTCTCTGCACGTTAAGAGCTCTATGACCTTTCTGCAGGTGGAATGTTCTGTCCCTATTCAAAATACCTTCATTTCAATTGAAAGCGACAGTCGAAATTCCTGTCCTTTATACAGGTCAATCCACTGCAGAAAAAAACCCATATGAATTATAAACAAATTGTTCTCGTCTTATAAATGCATGAAATATTTGCTACTGAAAGCAAACAAACAGCAATCAGTCAATTAAAAACAAACTTCTTTGTCTCTGCTTCATATATTTCACTTCTTTTTGTTTTATTGAAAGAACAATTTGCCATTTAGACAAAATAATCATAAATTCATTTCTAGTATCTGAAATACAGGGTTAGTACATACTTAACATAAGTTTCAGACCTTCACAGCTGGTTTTTGAACAATAAATTAATTCTACCGAACCATTAGTTATTTTCTTTGCAAGATGTTGTGTTTTTGTCATATGCACCTCAATGATATCTTTTTTCTACAAATTGGCTGAAACTGAAAGGCAATTTGTTGAATTTTGTTTCAAAATTTCAGTCATTTTAGAAAATGACTAGGCATTTTTAGTCATTTTATAATGCCTGTCAACGTTAGGAATTTTATAAAATGCCTGCAACATATATAAACTGTACACTTGGCACTAAGAATTAAAAAAATGCATATTTGAATCAAGAATTACAGTCAAGTCTCAATATATAACTAAAAACTGTAATAGCAACCCCTCTCCCACAAAAAAAACCAAACAAGACAGACCACTGGCATATTGATCAATATTATTCCTTACAAGAAGTAATAATCTTGAGCAGCAATCATGTAATTACGCTAGGTTTTTCTTAATACGATTAATGCATTATTAGGTTACTGACCTTTCTTGAATTGCATATACTTTATACTAATATGCATCGATTCATACTTTAAGTTTACAAAATCTATAGAATAAAGAGTATATTTGGGAACCACAAAACATATTATTTTACTTCAAAGCGGCATTAGCTGCGCTTTTGACAGTATAAGTTTAAAAAAAAAAATGTTTGTTTAATATTTTGCTCAAACGTTTACAAGAATGAAATATTGAGTAATAATTCGCAATTAGCAGTCAATTTTGTGTAATTTTGTCAAAAAAAGACCGAAAACCTAGCTGTTACAGTATTGTATTGCAATAAAATAATTCTACTTCAATTGAATCCACAGACATGCAACATAAATTTACCTCACCCGGTTTTTGATTGCGCATGTGCTCAGCATATTCAGATATTGAAAATACGGTCGGGTGGAAAGTAAGAATTTTAAACGAAAATAATAAGTAAAAGACCAGGTAAAGAAAAAAGAATGTTCTTTTTGTGGAAAGATCATCATTTTTTTTTGTGCGGAAAATTTTCAAATTAATAGATTTTTTTGAAATTTAATACCCTCGACTTATCACTCTGTTTGACTAATGAGCATTTCATCGTATACCACCAGCAAGGCTGTAATAAAGGAACTTACACACTGCTAACTGTGGTCATGCATTGGCTTAGACCAACTAGCATTACAGCGCGTAGTAAATGAAATACTCTAGGTCTATTGTCAGATCAGACTTAATCCTAGCGGCGACTTCTAGAAGAGAGGCGAAAGATACCAAAAGGGACATTCAAACTCATAGGTCGAAAATAAACTGACAACGCCATGGCTAAAAAAGAAAAAGACAAACAGACAAACAATAGTACACAAAACAAAACATAGAAAACTAAAGACTGAGCAACACGAACCACACCAAAAACTGGGGGGTGATCTCAGGTGCTCCGGAAGGGTAACAGATCCTGCTCCACATGTGGCACCCGTCATGTTGCTCATGTTAGTACAGACCCTGTAATAAGTCTAATTCGGTAAGTCACATTCTGGAAAAGGGGACGGGATTGTAGTTAAGACATTAGGAACATATCCGATATCATCTGTGAAATGGATATTCCGAAACGGTCAACCAACTCGTGATGGCGTCCGTAAAATTTACGAAGGGATGATTTCAACTTCACCACAACTTATGCGCAATATTACGGATATGACATGCGAAACAAGATGTTTGCTCATATTTTCGACGCAGTTGGGCTTCTTTTTTTATCGGAACTCGTTTAAGTGGCATAAAGTTGCAATGATTACGTGATAGGATAAATATATTTAGTTCCATTTATAACCTGTCCCAAGACAGCTATTTTGTTAGTTGTTTTCGTTGTCTCTTTTCTTTCTTCTTTAGAACTTGTTTGTAGGTTGTATACATTTTATATATATCATTACGCGGAACAGTTTAGACTTTGTTATATATCTGAGTGCTTATCCATCATTTAATTGTGTTGTTTCTTGTCTTTTTTAATTTACGTTTATCCCACAATATCATTTAATTCATGTTGATTGTTAAAAGTACTGCGACTGATGCCACATAAGTATATACATTCTGTATAAATCAACATATTGCAATTGTCTGACTCGCACGCGTGTTTATCCCGTGTTCCAGTTACTAGTATGTCTTATTCTCAGTTTTCTTTTTTGACGTAAGAAAAGGAAACCAAACAGTCCTAATGTTTCTGGATTGATTTGTTCTCTTTATTTCCTAAATTAGAATGAACAATTACATTTCTATAACACAAGCAGCCTTATAACAAGAATAAAAGAAAACATAGAGCAAAAAGAATTAAAGTGCGTTTATTTTGTTTGGGAATTTATATTTAACTGTAAAAAAAATCAATGCTGAAATAGTAGGTCATTTTGATAAACACATTAAAATGATCCACACACCAGCTTCACATGATGTCTCTCTAATTGTCAGAGTTCAATTAATGAATGAAATCATTTACAACACCAAGTACGGCTAACATCATCCGCATCATCTTGTTGAAATCAACGAATTAGATTTCCAACCTGGTGAAACACCAACAATTCCGGAAAGCATGCTAATTTTATTCCACAACTTTTTCAATGTATAATGAAAAGTTAAACAACGTCAATGGGACTACAACCGCTCAAAGAACATTGACCTTTCTTCATTGTTACCAAGCCAAATTTTACCATGACTCAGAGTTAAATATCAAAGTTTTAATGCTGATCATTGGAACGAGAACCGCACAACGTTACAGTCTATGAATAGCTAAACTAAATTCCGAACGGGATAAAAAAAGACAACTAGATATCAAAAAAGAAAACTTTATCCAGATATTTATCTTTTTACGCTTTTATAATTAAATTATTTAGAGACAACGAGTGTTCTTAACCATTTAAGACCCTTGTTTCGTGAATAAAATAACATGTACATGTTTTGTTATTTCGGATTGTCATGCATTTATTTTCAATTTTTATATGCCCGTTGTCCGTCCGTCTGTCCGTCCGTCCGTCCGTCCGTCCGTTCGTCGTCAACATGTCGGACAATAATTCAAAAACACTTAAACCAATTTGCATGAAACTTTGGTGAATTGTTTATATCTATTAACGTGAGCCCCCTTTCGATTTTTATAAATTTTAGATTTTACGTTTCCGAGTTATTGTGTGTTATTCATTAAAATAGGGGGATTTTCCAGTTTTCGGACAATAACTAAAAAATGCTCTGAGCAGTTTTCAGGAAACTTTGGTGAATTGTTTATATCTATTGACGTGAGCTCCCTTCCGATTTTTATAAATTTTAGAATTTACGTTTCCGAGTTATGGGGTTTTATTCATTAAAAAAGGGCGATTTTCGAGTTTTCGGAGAATAACTCAAAAGTGCTTAGAGCAGTGATGACTGGTTTATGTGTATTAAAATAACCTCACTTTAGTTTTTTTTATAAATTTCTGATATGACATTGAATAGTTATGGAACTTTATTCTTTGAAAAAGCGACGGGCGTATCATGCGCTCATGGCGCAGCTCTTTTTTCACATTCCTGTTAGATCTATATCCATATAATTATCATTACTTGTATGAATCCATCCGTACTTTTGATTGGCTTCCGCGCTTCATACAACATGTGCTTCGGTCAACGCTTTTACATCCCAATAAAATTACAAAAAGAAGCATTAAATTCTTAAATATTATTAGTAGTAGTCCATGCAAGAATCTTGCAAATCGAAATTGTGTGATACATCTAATGAAAAACTACAAATGTTTCCTTTTGTCCATCATTAGCAATATGGGTTTGCATGAAAGGAACTAGAACACACCCGTGACTGAATTAAAGTACCTATGCCTTATTTTAAGCATGGATTTTTAGTATTCGTATTGTCATCTGATAAAAGTCATGCTGATTGTAAGGTACACACTTTTCTCTGCTTTCAAAATCTTTCTGTTTGAACCCGTCCTGGTTTTCTTACTACAATAAACTTACTATAAATTGAATTTAATCTTTTAACTAATTAACCAAAATTAATAGTGGTATTGAGGTGGAAGAAAACAGACCTGTTAAATAGTGTACTATAGTGTAACATAGGTATAAAACAACTACCGCAAGAATTCCAGGTTCTCCTGATAGAGGATGGATTATAGAAGGTAACAGTAACTACATCCAGAAACTACATGTACATGTGACATATACAATTGGTATCGGTATCGGATTCGACCCAAAACTTGTTAATCTTTGGTAACATTAATTATGTGGAAAACAAAAGGACCTGGAATGGTGTAATTTTTAACAACACCATTGTTCTATCGATATAAGTTATATATAAAGTAGAATTCTTTGATTCGTCGTATTTATGTCATGCCGGCTAACAAATTGGGCAATGTTTTCCATTTACAGCTTTACAAGAACAGATAGCTGACATGTATTTTACAATTTACTGTATTGAGTATCGTTGAAGCAATCTCTCATATCTCATCTGGTAAGGGTTCATATGAAAAATTATAAATAAATTTCAACATTCTTTTCTACCAAAAATAAAATATCCAATTTCATCTGTAAGCTTTCCATCCGTAAATCACAGTTTGTTTGACTGAAATTTAAGCAAAAGCGTATATATAATGATTGACAGTTAATAACAAAATCTTGATTTTGACAAAATGAAAAACTATTATTCTACTGTAAAAGTAGAAAGTAAACAAAAGTATATTGACAAATTTAAATTTTGCATGTAAAAAATATGGCCTTACAAAAGGATAAGAAACGGCGATAATAATCTGTAATTAAATCAGCCGTGTTACAAAATATAATTACTGACCTTTAAAGTAATATATACTTTATAAGTATTCTAGTGTTTTGAATAGTAATACAAGTTACTTTTAAATGACAGTTTTTTGTTTTGTGGACCATTTCCTACCTATTATTATATGAAATGGGTTTTGTTTTAAAGTCAGTCCTTAACTACTAATTATTCTGACAAAATGTGAACCGATCGATTTTAATTGTCTAGACGTACATGTTCGACAAATATGTCACTGGATTAAAATTGATGATTTAAGTTAATTAGAAATAAATAAATCCACCTGAATAACATACTGCAAAGGATATGGAAACACTTATTACAGCACCCAAACCAGGATCTAGTGCTAGTTCCAAACGTGTACAGTTCTCCAGGAGCAAGACAGAGGTTGACCTGCCTAGTAAAGGTACAAATATTTTTTATACATTGTTCTAAGCTTTAATTTTTAATTATGTAAAACTACTTACTTGAAACTTTTTAGTTTTACATATGATTACGTGTAAACTGTAGAACTTGTAACTCTTAACAGGCAATTTTCGATCACATGAATTTTACGTAATATATGCTTGCATTTTGAGATTAATATATTAAATGAAATTGGCGCATCCTGTAATTTGTTATTACATTCACGTTAAGACTTCCACACATATTTCATGTAGTGCAAATGAATGGTAAAAATTCGACTTTTAATTAAAAATGTAAATGAAGATGTGGGATATATCTTCAAATGGATGCCAACTTATCAACACAAGAAAACGTTCACAAAGAATCTATCCATTATTCAATTTTTAAATCACTTTGAGTCGCGAATATAACGAATGAATTGAACAGACTACCAAACATGGGTGGTCATCTCAGTTTTAAAAAAAAAGTACATGCACATTAAGATATAAAGAAAGACGGCCATTGACGAGTTCTTGATAGAAAACATTTTAAGAAAAGTGAAATATTAAAACAAATTACATGAAGTTGACGTCATACCACGTTAGCGAATGTTGCCTGTGATGGCGAAATATCACTAGAGTAACCATTATGTCTCACTGATGTAAACTCCACATTCTACCCATGTTTTGTGTTTGTATTGATTGTTTTATCGAATAATGTAAATATTAGCAGTATATTTAATGTGCAATAAATTAAAAACAATATAAAGCCATAACAATACTAAATCATAATATTAAAAACATAAGTAAATATAAACACGTAAATAAATAAATAAATAAATAAATAGATAAATAAATAAATAAATAAATAATCAGTTAAAGCCCAAAACCAATCTATATATTTGAAATTTTAACGAGCTATCGTGATCATTTTAAACAAATGCAGTTTGAAATTTAAGAATAAAATTTGTATTAAGTCATATCAAATTTAGATACCTATATCGTCGTACTTCCATTCAGTTGAATTAATGAATATATTTGCATCTTATGAGTTTTTTATGACGTGAAAAACAGGTGGTCTTAAAACTTTAAGAATTTTACACTATTTTATTGAAATTTTTTGGAATGGACTTCACAAACTTTTAAGAATATTTCAAATCTACCCATTTCATCATTTAAGATGCAATAATTTATTGAAATAAATCTACCAATAGTTTTGAGTAAAAAATCATAAAGGAGTCCACGGAACCATGTTTCTTACCTGCGATTATTGACCGCTGTCAGTGTAAAGGCGTAATATCGACTGTAAAATACGGAATAGAAAAATCTTAATTTCTAATAGATTAGCTTGGGTTTAAACTTCATAACTATCCATGAAGGGATTACAAATATATCATAAACAAAAATCAATCCCAGATTGCAAAAAAAGTTCATCTATAAATAAAATACTGAAAATAAGAATAAATAATTTTAGAAATTTTGCTCGGGATACAGTCTTTTGGTCAGACTGAAGCTTATGTCCGAATTTCATAAAATTCCATAAAGGTTTGACACATTTATTGATTTTCAAAAAAAATTTCAACCACAGACTGAAACTAAATGTTGACAAAGCGGACACCGACGACGATGTTTAGGATCGCTATGTCTCGCTTTCGCGACATCAATGTCGCAGGTTCGACAAAAATGGTTAATTATATGCCTTGGGAATTTTTTTGTTATTATACAGATGAGTCTCAAAGACGAACAAAATCAGCGACCAGACTTTCCTCCAGACGTTCACGTCGCTTATTCTCGGAATGCACAGTAACATCAACCTTAACAGACACCGGAAGTTCACCTAGACAACAGATGTTGCTGAGAAGAGTGCTCAAATCACGTGACAGCAGACGATCTAATAAAGAAGAAGGGAAATTCCCGTCTCCAACAACAGACTATAGACGACTTGGTAGTGTCAGATCGTATGCGAGTAGTATCAGCATAGCTCGAAAGGAAAGGGATGCAGTAGGTTTTATGAATTAGATATATGTTATTTAAAAAAATGATGATCGTCAATTTAAAAATTGTAAGAAGGACATCTCGGTATATAAGATATGATTCATTACATTGGTATTCGTGTTTCTCAATACTTGTTTTATTTTCTAACTTTTTGGTTGTTGTTTCTATACAACAAATCTTTCAGAGGGAACAACTGCACATATCACTGATTTCGGATAGTTAGAATTCGTTAGCCCTGAAACACTTTAAAAAAAAACGACAACAAAATTACCAAATGCCTTCGTTAGAAAGTAAAATAACAAAAATACCGAGCTCCAAGGAAAATTCAAAACGGAAAGTTCCTTATCAAATGGCAAAATCAAAACCTCAAACACATCAAACGAATGGAAAACAACTGTCATATTCCTGACTTGGTACAGGCATTTCCTTATGTAGAAATGGTGGATTAAACCTGGTTTTATAGCTAGCTTAACCTCTCACTTGTGTGACAAACGCATATAATTTCATTATATTGACAACAATGTGTGAGAAAAACAAAAAGACATAATAGGCAAAAATGTCAAAAATTGGGGTACAGCAGTCAACCATTTGCTTCTGTTTCGGAAATATCATCACAAATAAAAAATGTTTTCCGGTCGTGGAGTTTCTTAGATTGACAGTGGCGTTGACAATAAGGACAGGTTAATTAGAATTGATGATTCTGGATGAAGACACGGGAAAGGTCTATATACACGTGGTCACCAGTTAACTTTATATTAGCGTTATGTTGTATATTCTAATACTCCAGTTTTGCAACGTAAAAGCATTACTTAAAAGCTAAAATCATTTTATAAATTACATGGTTATAAAGCATATATTTTCATTTATAGAAACTGAAGTTCAAGCTTAAACTATGGACGCATGCGCTTGTTTACTTTCAGAAGTTGCATAAGAAAATAATTCGAAACAAGTAAGTGAAACAGCTACATGTAATTCATGACTTTAACAACAGTACAAAATGCTCGCCTTCAAGATAAGCATCAATTTTTATATTAGCAAGTGCATAAAAAACAAGGGTAAAATATGGCCATGTTGCTATACTTACATGTACTGTAAATTTATTCTGATTACACAAACAAATCTATTGACCTGCTTTCTATAAACTCTCAATTCACAAGAGACGTTGAAAGTTTTTACATATATTCTTCTTTTTCCATTCACTGCTTAAACGAAAGTCAAAATGATCTTCTTTGATAATTATTCATACTTTTTTATACCAGTAAACTAAACATTGTGGATGAAAGGGTGTCTAACGATGGATGTGGAAAAAGAACACATTGAAAAAATAAAGTATCCGGTCAAAAGTTTATGTATTGACAAGACATATAGCATATATTTCACACTATTACACATATAAAACAAAATCTATTGATTTAATAGTCAGGAATTGGAAGCGTTTAAGAAACAAATGGATTATACGGAAGGAAACTTTGTATCATCAGAAGAAAGCACCATTCATGTTGGATTAGATGTTGATCGTTTCAAACCAGTTACACAGGTATAAATACGAATATCGGTTTTTTCATCATCTAATGCAAATATTTTTTTTTATCATTTCCAACATTTTAGAAAAAGCACAAATACCCTACTGAAAACCAAAACAAAAAACTGAGATAACAGTTGATAAAATAGTAGACACTTTTGTAAATTATTCTCTCTAGTAAAAACTACATTTGTAAGAATACCTTAAATTTAATAAAAAAAATTAAAAAAAAAGACTTACACACTTAACTGTTCATAGTCTACGGAAGCGTATTAACGCCACACATTTTCTTTTTTTATATTTCCTCCTATGTTTGCGTTACAACGCACACCTTTGCGAAATAACGCAAACCTTTTGCGTTATAACGCAAACCTTTGCGAAATAACGCAAACCTTTGCGTTATAACGCAAACCTTTGCGAAATAACGCAAACCTTTTGCGTTATAACGCAAACATTTGCGTTAAAACGCAAACCTTTGCGATATAACGCAAACCTTTGCGTTATAATGCAAACATCTTGATTTCAATTATTCATTAAGTTTTGTATATTTATGTCCGTCTATCATTGAATTTCGGTTGCGTTTTAGTTAAGAAAAGAAACCATAAATACAAGGCCAAATCATTATAATAAATATGCATATTTAGGAATAAAGTATCAGAAAAGTATATAATTTCACAAGAAAAAAGATATAGTATAGGCATATTTTAATTGAAAGGCCAACATTTTGAAAATTTTGTTTAAGTACATAAGAGCAAAAATAATGTCATACAATTGTGAAACTGTCAAGTCAATTAGACAAAATGATCTTTCTGCTTTAAAATGAATGATTAAGAATTCAAAAAAACATTTTTTTTTAATTTGATGTAAGAAATCTCAGAATATGATAAAGATTCTTTGATAAAAAGTCATGAAACTGTCATTTCAATCTAGTGAGGTAACTTTTAAGATGCTTGGGTAGCTATTTGAGAACATGATTTTATTAATAAAACATCTTCATTTTATACGTTTATTGCAAAAGGGTAGCTCGTTTGAATCTTACCAAACTTACACAATCCTCAAACGAGAGCTTACTTTGGAAGTACATCTATTATCGGCTATAGCTTTATAAGCAGGGTTGATTTTTATTTCTTTCGGTATAACTTCAATCACTCAATTTTCTTTGTAATATTTATACATGTATTGTCATGTACATCATTTTTGGGGCCCTTTATAGCTTGCTGTTCGGTGTGAGCCAAAGCTCCGTGTTGAACACCGTACTTTGACCTATAACGGTTCACTTTTAAAAATTGTGACTTGGATGGAGAGTTTTCTAATTGGCACTCAAACCATATCTTTATATCTATTATCCTGCTCATTATTAGTCAATAGTATGTTCCAAATATTCAGGCATATTACTTTGCAATGAGTATACAAAGGGGGTAAATTTTAATATATGCAGCCTCCTCCATTAATAACCGCTGCTTCCTTTGAATCTTAAGAGAAATAAGATAAAACAAATGTTTGCATTATTACGCAATGAAAGGTTTGCGTTATATCGCAAATGTTTGCGTTATAACGCAAAAGGTGCGTTATTTCGAAAATGTTTGCGTTATATCGGAAATGTTTCCGTTATAACGCAAAGGTTTGCGTTAAACATAGGAAAACATATTAAAAAATAAAGTTGTGTGGCGCTATTACGCTTCCGTAATAGTCTTGCATTAGAAAACACGTCAATTAAAATTGATAATAGGAAGAAAGAAATTCTGGTTTAACAAATATAAATACATGTTTGAACATTTCAATATAAAAATATATGTAAAGTTTGCATGGTAATACAATAACCCAGCAAAAATAAACCAAAAGTCCTGTAGAGGTTAACGTGCAAACTTCAACAGCAGTCTAGTGTCTTACACAATATGTCCAGCTATAAATCGCCCAAAGTATTAAAAGGACGTGCATAAATTAAACAAAACTACTTATCAACGATCAGCCACCAACACTTAAGATTCTGAACAAAAAAACCCGCATTCATATTAATTTTATTTGTGTATTTGATGAATATCAAAAGACTAAGGATCGTGTTCTTTTCTTACTGTAAATCTGAAAATGAACAGGTCATTTTTATAGATAAACAGGGATAAAACTGAAGGGTTATTACAATATTCACCCGCGGTTGGCAATGATTCCCTCATGGAACTTGTGCCTTCATGGAATAAGTCATCATAACAAATTTTCATATAAATAGATAGATTTTCCGAATTCGCACATAAGAGAGTTGTTGATATTTTATGCCAAATATTTACTTTTAATATTAAATGAACTCGAACAACATTAAGTCCCAAGAAGCTTAATGAGCTAGGAGACTTAATTGGATGACGAGAGAAAGACTTCTACATTTAAAAATCCAAAGACCGAATAAAAAGGTGTTTAAGAAGATTTCTGAGTAAATTTGGATTTTATCTATGTAAATAATGATTTATTACATGTATGTTATAATATTTACTTTTGTTAGATACGCATGTCCAAAGAAGCAAAGAGAATATTATTGAAAGATCCCGAACAGAGGACTCTAGAAGAAATTAAACATGTAAGAGTTTACATTAACTTTGCTTACCTGATGGTAAAAAGTTTAAATTAGTTATTTTATATTTAGCTAAAATTGTATAATCGTCAATGTCTTAATTCACAGGAAAAGATATTTGAGAACTGTCTTTCAGATAACAATCTATCAACACAAGTAATTGGAACTCTCTTCCAAATGGCCAACCAACTAGATATGTGGTTATTAAATATTTGACAGAGTTTAACTTGACATCACTATTCTATCTAATCCTTTTATTTTAGTCAGTATCGGAATATGAAATCAACAAAATGTTTTTTTAATCTCAGGTTAGAACAGATTTAATGGTGACAAAAACAGAGAGCATACAAACGTTACCAGAGGACTGTCAACTTCGACTCGCAAAAAATGTTGGACTTGAAAGGTAACGAAACGAGCATAACAGTATCTTGTTTCTGAAAATTTTAATTTAACCTGTAATCCTGGTTAAATATTTTCGATTTCACAAGCTTCACTTCAAATATATATTCGAATCGGAAGTCCGCTTACGGCATTGAGAATATTGTCGCAAGAACCCAGACTAATGTTATTTCAGACACATGGCATTTGTTTTCTCGATGCCGTTTATAGCTTGCTATTCGGTATGGGTTTTGCTCAACGATGACGGCCGTACGGTGACCAACATCATTTGGTCTCAGTTGGAAATTTGCCTCATTGGCAATCATACCACATGTTCTATTCTGATACATTCTATAATGTCAGCACTGCAAAAAACCGATCTTAAGTGTCTTAAGTGTCTGATTAGAATCATTTGTGGTATCATACAAAATAGTTATCAAGTTTTTGGCTGTTGTGTAATTTGATAATTGTTAGTTTTGACGTTCCAAAACTTTGTATTTGGTATTCCAAACTTTTTATAAGTCTCGAGCTGTAGCGAACGAGACACAGTCATGTTGTGTGCAATGAGATCGATATCATAAAATAAATAAATAAAGGATATGCGGTGCTGCTGACACAAACAGGATTTGTTATCGAATGTAGTCTGCATCGAAGTTTCACAAAGTTTACAAAAAGAAAACAGAATTGCATTGCTACATGTAACATCTACGTCATTTAGTCACTTGTGGATAGTTGTCTCTTTGGCAATCATACTTTATATATCCTATCACTGAAATTTATTATCAGTGGGCACACCAGATAAAAAAAAAAATCTATCTTTCAGTTTGGGAGCAAAGAGATTTATTATAAAAGAAGGTTACGCTGCCGAATATTGTTACCTTATTATTGTTGGTTCAGGTAAGCGTAATACTATATGTGTATTTACATTACTTCTTTTAAAATGTATAATTATAAAAGGTATGTTGTTTCCGATTTGTTTCATTGAGTGTCAATATCAGCAAGCAGCTGTGACTACCATAGCTAGTTACCCGTATGCTGACCCTGCTTTAAAAATTATGTGCCGTATTTTATTTTTATGTTCAAGTTAGTGTCGTCTTATTGGTAGCTAGACTGTGCAGGATTTTTTTCTTATGTTTGACTTTTCCGACATATGTTTTAGATAGGCGAATGTATGGTTTGCCCTTAAATTTAATCCCCACCGCTTTTTCGTCGTTCGTTGTTGACTGTGAACGTCTATTTTTAGTTTTGGGGTTTTGCTTGTTGTAATGGTCTTTTGTACTGTCCAATATATCAACGATTCCTGTTTTTTTTCTTTTAGTGCCGAATGTATTTGCTTGTGCATATATATTTACTTTGGAATACGTTCTGTCTTCATTTTGTTGATGTAGGAAACTTTAATGTTTTTTTTTTAGTGTTATTGTTTTGTTAGATTGTCGTATACCCAACAATTCCCTTTATCACATAAAATTCGAAAGCAGGAAACACGAAAATTCTTGTTTATTTCACAACTCATTTTTAGACTCGAGAGCTTGATATATACTGTATAGCTATATATAGACACCTAGTGTTTAAGACCGTTGTTGACCTCTGAATCCTTGTTTTTAGACATGTAGTTACGGTATCATTTACATTTACTGCACACATGCTTTTATTTATAATCTAGTCAACATCTCGCAGTACTTTTGTCAGAATTGTAAAGAAAGTATATAAGATACATCATTTAATGTAAATATTGTCAAACATTTTAGTTATCAGAGCTTGGCTAGATGAAGGTGCTATACGAGCAACCAGTGATGACAAACCATTAAAAGAAGGTCAGATGTTTGGCGTAAGTAATAGAAGTATATAATTACTGTATACTCAAGCTAAATTAGGTGTTTAAAAAAACGCACCCAAAAGATAGCGTGCTGAGACTACAATAAACCTCATCACAGAACAATAAAATCATTGTAATATACTTCAACCGAAGGCAGCTTTCAATCTTTAAGTGACCTGACATATTTCAACATATTGACTTTTCTACCGATTTTCAAATTTCGTAATTTTCACTAAGCATATACAACATGTACAAACTTAAAAATTCTTTAAGGAATCGCATGAACTCAAAACGGAGCGACGAAGGGGTAAGCGCCTCTTGCTATGCATGGATTAACTCCCATACGGATGAGCAAAAATGCGTTAAAAAATCGATGAATATGAGTCTTTAATTCTATCTTTTACAGCCTTATATTTTCCAGGAGTCCGAGATGAAATCTTCAAGTCCACGAAAAGCGTCCTATATATCAGCTTCCTATACAGAAATTTTACGGGTATCCGCCGAGGTAGGTTATTGTAGTATCCGATTAAATAGCATATGTAAAGTAACAGTAATATTTTAGTAATTAGGCAAAATATATGAGTCGAAAAGAACAACGTAATGGTCAAAGGAAGGCAAAGAAAACATATCGCATACATTACAGAGACTGGTTTATTGATTGTTTGTGTTTAAAATCATTTTTAGATAATCAAACGAATAATTACTAGTACTTAATAACTAGCTATAGAGGTCCACGCATGGTATTTAACAGTTAAGACGAGTAATAACATAAACGGTACCAATTTTACTGCACCAAGTGCGCATTTCGACAATTAATGTCTCTTCGGTGATGCTCAAGGCCAAAACTTTTGTAAAATGAAAACTAAGACAAACGTTGTAGAGCTGATCAAACCAAAAAGGACCTAAAGTATAGCCAAATTCGGACAAGGAATCAGAGCTTTACATGAGGGAGATGCATGCCTTAATTTTTAATACCTATGCATATGCCAGTCAAGTAATAACCAGGGGCGTAGCTAGGTATCCAAAAAACTGTATGCACAAATTGCGGCAGGGGGCCTGGGGCCGCTTAAGGCCCGCATCAGGTCCAGGGCAGAGCCCTGGTAGGGGGTTCAGGGGAGGCGAAGCCCCCAGACGGAAAACGGAAAACGGATTTCAGCATTTTAGTTGCAAAATTTTGTGTACAAAAAATATTAAATTTACTGGTTATTTTATCATGATAATAATTAATATACATGAAGAAAAGTTCGAAGAATTATAAATAATTTTACAATAACATCTGGTGAATTAGCGCAGTACGATCGGAAATCTAAAAAAAAATGTATTTACAATATGCATTGCCCAGCGTAGATCAGCGTAGCCCTTTAATTAAGCAGTACATCCTATGTAGTATTTTCAAATCTATTCCTTTCTGATTGAGGATAGTTGATATATATACGTTAATTGATAGTACATATAGACGATCCTTCATTCAAAGAGTAGGCACGTAAACACTGAGACTACTATATATATTAATACTATCCTTTGGGCTAGACATCGACCATCCATCTTTCGATTCTTAATCCTTCACCCGGCCACACAAACACATACACGCACACACAGTTGATACCCAATACAGAAGTTCGGTTCTGTTCATACTATCGTTACAAAATTCAAAAAATTCATATTTTCTGATATCCTCTACTGTAAAATCCCTACCTGCTTAGGAATAATTATGGTCATTACACGTAGATCTGAGAGTACTCGAAGTTACTGAAAGCTAGTTGATTGATTGATTGCTAACTTGACGTTCAGTGGCAAATAGTTATGCATGTTCAGGACAAAAACAAATTTACAATAAATACAAAAGGTAGCCACTAGGTCCTGTAATAGGGGTCGTCCAGGATGAAGGTCTGAAAATTTGAAAATGCCATTAGAAAATTAGGAGATAACTGTATTGTATTTTAAGCTTAGCCTTCGTAAAACGTAGATTTTACTGTCGCAAATTGAGTTTACCTAGCGACGCGTAGGAACAGAAATTCAGCCTTTCAGCAGACCACCTACGGACCCCTCAAAGAGTTGTTGCAAGTGTTCCTAACACTCTACACTAGGCATCGGAGTTAATGTCCCCTTTCTGACCAGACGTGACAGCGTATGTATACATCCCGCACAGCCAAGCGGACGTCCCACTTTGGCAAGGATTTTATTGTAGATCGGATGAAGATCAAGTGGAAAAAAGCTAGTTGAAAGCCAACAACAACTAATAAAAAAAATCATGTATCTAAGAATAAAATGTCAGGGTTTTGAGCATGTTGAGGCTCAATCGAGTATTTGTTGGTAGAAGTGAAATGATATGAACCAAAGTTCTAGTTTTAGTTTCTATTTAAGGTGGAATATAATGTACATACAATTCTACCCGATACTCCATTCACTACGGATGATAGACATGTGTACAAATTACATTTGATAATTAAAGAATTTTGACGACTTCACGTGCATCTACAGATAACGTTGTCATTATTTTTTTTTCAATACAAAAATATTTGTGAAAAAATTATGTGTAGGCACGTACCTAAAGTGCCTAACGGCAGCTACGCTCCTGAATTAACCATGAGGATAGGGAATAGTGATTACATTTAGATAAAGATAAATACACACAAAAAATAATATCTATCTTTTTTATATTTGAGGTCACACGACCATTGTATCCCGATCATTACCATTTACTCAAAACATCCATGCATTTTGGGATCGTGTAAATTCAAACATCAAAAACTAATGAGACAAATCGGCAGCAATAGCCAGAACTTAGAATAAAGATAGCTTGAAAATCAGGGGAATTTCCTGAACTCTGTTAGATTCAATTATTCAAGTAAATGTGTAACATTGTTATCATATATTTTTCATATGTACGTCAATGTTATTAAAATCTGAGTGCAAATGTAGGAAATGTAGGAACTTTCAAGCGCAGATGTACAAACTTTCACGCCCAAGTGTGGGAACTTTCACGCGCAAATGAAAGAACTTTCAAGCGCAAATGTAAGAACTTTCAAGACCAAATGTAGGAACGCTTTCACGACAATGTAATACACAGACTGATGACAACACAATATTACTTAAAGGACACATGTCAACTTGAAGATATGACTCATCGATATCTCAAGCAATGATCAGTTTGATTATTTGGGAAAGGCAATGGAACATGTAGAAGTGAAACTAAGTTGTTTGAATCTTGATCAGTGGAATAGCAAAAAGAACGATGGCTTGACAAGATTATAGCGATATTGGTTAACAACTTTTTAAAATTTAATATAAGGTAAACATATAATTAAATTTGTTTAAAAATTAACATTTGTACTGCTTTATTTTTAGGATTATTATGACATATTTCTGGCAGGTGAGAAAGTTGGAAAAGACGATGTTCTACTATTGAAGTAAGCAACTTTTTAAAATGTTTATACCAATCATCTCCTTTTTAAAGAGGGATATAATCTTATTTTTAAGGAAATAAATAAGTAATACTGTTCATAAATGTTCAATCATCAGCAGCAACAACTATTACTGCTGGAAAGTTATTTATTTCGTGTAGAAGATCTTTCTACACATTTCCCAAAATTCTGTATCCTCAGGTATATATATCTACAACATACTTTATTTTGTTTTTACAGACAGATAGAAGTTTTTAATGGATGGGATCTAGAGAATATCGCAGGAAATAGTGAGAAAATCAAAAGAAAATATTTCCCGTGAGTTTACGATTATAGTGAATCAGATGTACTTACCATGTGCCATTTTGAAGTTGCCGTAGATATACACTAACAGTAAACACAAACCGGTCCATCAATGACCAGATCGTTGACATCAATAAGATATAGTTTATAGTATAGACAGGTCCAATGTTGATACATAATAATCTTAAGACATTTATTGCAACCACTTCGAAAATGAAATAGGTTTTATTTTGTAATTTTTGCAATTCATTGTCTTGAGGAAAGTAAGTTTTTCATATCATCAGGGTAAAATAGTGATTCAGAATGCAATTACGACCTTTTTAATACAAAAAAGAGAAGATACCAAAAAAATAATGAAAAAACATTAGTCGAGGAAAAACGGACAAAGTCAAGTACAAAGAGAAATAGACGAATAGTATTTCAAACTACAAAACACTACACTGAAAACTAAAGATTGAGCAACACGGACCCAACACAAATCAAAGTTGAACTCGTGTGCTCCGACAGGTGAGGCAGTTCCTGGTTAGCGGCAACCCCGATCAAGGATTGGAAACGCAAGACCTTGAATATTGTATCATTTTAGATTAATTTGATGTCATTGCTTCCTAATTATTAATGATGATTTTTACTAGACATTTTTCTCGTTACTAAATAAATGTTGTTAACCTAATAATAACGTCTGTTTTCCAAAAAAAGCTTCTCTGTTAAAAAGATCTTATTTGTAAACCTACAAGTCTTCTTTGTCACCAAACATTAAATAACTTTAAAACACTAGAGACCCAGTGATCTGAATGACTAGTTTGTAATTAGTAAAAAAACATAAATAAATCCGACAAAAGTCACAATTCAATTACAATAGACAATATGAAAAGTCAACTAAAAATGCATTTACTCGGCTATCTTTTATAAAAACATTGATAACTCTGTGTATTGGTATATTGTAAACACTTTCAATTTAACGGTATTTGAGACAAATCTTGACACTTTATTGAAAACAGAGTCCGACATATAAACTTTTCTTATGGTTCGAGTACTGTTAATCTCTTTACAAAACACACACGCGGCAAGCTTTAGTTAGTGGAATATTCTCTATGTATTAAAAATCTTGTGTCTTGCACAATTGTCATATACATCATATCTTTCATCATTATATAGGTTGAGTTCTTAAGGCCAAGGCGACATCATCTCTTCGTAAGGTGTACCGCCACTATTCTGGTTTCTTTGATCGTTAGGAAATATCTATTACTATAAATATCATCTTTTGTCTTTGTCACAGTTCTGTCATCTTTTCAAAGTTTAAGACATATCGGAATGATAATTATCACCGGACTTTTACTTGCCTTTAGCAAAACGATGAGTTACACTAGTGGAACAGGAACTGCTGCAAACCCCGAAACAGCGGTGACGTTGCTTTGCTAAACTATCACGTTAAAGTCAACGTAGCGTAGCAAGGAGGACGTTACCACTGTTTCGGAGTTTGTAACTGCTGAGCATGCTACAGTTCGACACCGCATTTCGTTGGAGTTCGTAGTTTTCAATCTTTATTTTCTATGAAGTGTTTTGTTGACAGTTTTTATCTATTTTTTTTTGTATTTACCATGGTTTTGTCTGTTTTTCTGCTGCGAATTATTGTTTTAAAATTCCCTTGTATTGTTATTAACTACATGTGAGTGAATATTGGTTAATCTTTTGAAGCAGAATAAAAAGAAAAAAAAGGTTATTTTAGTTTCTAGGCAAAGGCATATCACATGTGGTATTTTAAAAATGATGAAAAAAAAAAATTAAAAGTTATTATAACTACAGTTCCAAAACAAGTGCTGGACAATTGGAGGGAATCAACCTGAACTAGATTATTACAATTTTAAAGATAAATAATAGATGTCTATGTTTTAATTAACTACAAATATTTTCCAGCAATAATTGGATGGTAAAGGAAAACGAAAATGAATACAACGATTCAGGAATGAGAAATAAAGCTTTAGACAGCAGGCAATTTGAATGGATTTATATAGTTAAATCGGTAAGCAATTAAAACAAGTACCGAGATATGTGCGATTTTTATTCCGCACATGTGTGTTAAAAAAAGAGGCAGCAGATACCAAGGTGACATTCAAAACGCATTAGTCGACAGAAACTGACAACGCCATGGCTAAAACCAAATGATGACGAAAAGACAAACAAGATCACAAAACACTACATAGAAAACTTAAGACTAAACAACACCAACCAAAATCTGTGGGCAATCTCAGGTGCTCCGGAAGGCTGAGAGATCCTGATTCATTAAAACCATCCGTCGTATTGCTCATGGGAAGTACAAATTCGGTGATGTGACAATCAAAGAAAAGGAGATAGGGTAGTTGTTACGGCAGTTTGAATTGTAGTTGCAATCATCCATTAGCCTAAAGCCTAACGACAGGTTAATAGATGAATATGCTTAATGTACGGATTCCTTTTAATCACTTACACTCGAATTATAAAGGCCATTGCTGTACCGATTATACCAATCCGTTTCAGATTCCAGCCACTGATAAATTGTTGAATTATGCATGGTTTATAGCTGAGTTATAATTTAAAAGAAACATTATAATTGAACGCATTATTAATCTTTTATGATCACAACATGGCCTTGTTAATACTTGTCAAAGGCATAAGGTGCTGGCGTTCTCCTTGTATCAGTCCGTTCGTAACTCTGTTGTAGGCACCAGGGTTGAGACTCAATCTGCCATCGTAACTGATACTAGTAATTAAACGTTTATCCGACATGATTTTGTTGACTGTCTGCAAATGCACACAATAAATAATGACATATTCCTATTCTTACAGGGTTCAATAACGGTTATGACGATTTTAGACAAAATTAAACCAACAATAAACCTTACCACCGGAAATTATTCAGAAGAAGCACATACGGATGGATATTTGGCATTTCTGACAAAAGGAGCTGAATATGAAAGATTTTCTGCATACCATTCTACAAAGTGTTCATCTCGCCCTCTGTCTGCTAACAATTCATACACAACAAACTTTGATGTGAAATCTGCTCCCCTTCTTCATCGACTTCATCATTTACTGCGACCAAAATCAACCGGAAATGAACAAAGATTTATCAGCACACCCGACTCACTGAAAGGGAAACACATACCAACTTCAGCAATTAGTTCAAAACTTGTATCTATACCTAAAAAGGTTTGTCTTTCTGTAGTATAAAAAATCGTATTCAACAGAACAATTTAAAAGAAAAATAAGCGTGTAGTTTATTTTCTCATTGACATAAACCTCTAAAATATGAGGTCATTGAGCACTGGGTCGATACCGCTGCTGATAGACTATAAGTCCAGAGGGTAGGATCAGCTCAGTAGTCAGTACTTTGGCACTGACGTGATTTATAATGAACCTTTCTTAAATTGTCCATCTATAAATTTATAAATTATTAAGAAACTAAGATATCTAATCAATCAGGAAAAGTTGACCTTAGATGGATATAGCTATTATTTGAAGGTCCTTTTTGGTCATAAAGCTCTTCAAATGTTTCGCTTCTTATATTATCCTTAACATTCAAATATTTGACTTTGTGCGTTCCTGATGAAGGTGAATCCTGAAAAGCGCTTCGGACGCATTGATGTTTTCATTTTTTATCTAATAACTGCAACACACACGGGCACTTAAAATTGCGACATATTGTCCGCCGATAACCATCTCTATTGTAAATCGTTTTATTATTATAGTTGTATTATAGACTGTAGATGTTGTAATAATTTTGATGCATACAACACCGATGTAAGTATGACATACAGCAACCAATGGCAACCGTTTGACTACGTGTGTTTGGGACATGCACATAAAGATTGTGGCGGTGTTGCCATGTGAACGCTTAACCCTTCCTATTAATCTGATTAGGTGGTGTAGCAGCACAACATTAGAACAAACTTTAAAAATCAGTTGGAAACGGCTTGAGTCACGTCGCAACTAAGCACAATGAAACCAACAAAAATTAAAAAAAACCACACAAAGTATTAATCTAAGAGTACTCACTATTACAGAAAGCTAGTTCAAAGTCAATTTCAACTTAAAAATAAAGAATGTTCTCACAGATTAAAATGTCAATAAGTGCACTTATTGTACACGCATTTTGTGTAAAGACGTCATGAGTAGTCTGAATAAACACGGCCTTGTGTAATGCCAACATACAAGTATTTACAGGATGTTTTGTAATTTAAACTTCTCAAGCTATTGTGAGTTAGAAAAATCCCACTTGATGAACCTTTAAAAGTATATAACATATGGTGAAAATATTCATCACAAAATAAAATACCATTCTGTTTCTATTGCAAATAGTTATGGACATTTAGAAGCTGACAGGAAAAATAGTCCCAGTTTTCGTTCAACAACTTTAACAAAGACAATGGTATAAAAACATTAATTGCGGGTATAAAGGTATTATGATAAATGATATGATTATGGTGTAATAAATATATGTTCACAACACAGTGAAAGTTTTATAAATACGTATTTCATTCACAGAGAAGACAATCTTGTCACAGAAGAGACCAGTCAACACCAACACCCACACCAGAAACACATCAGGACGATGCATCGCTCGCTGAAGGTAGTTTTCTACTTCAACTTATATATAGCTTATATATCAATATGGATATTTTTAGTCGGAGATAATGTCTGCAACTTACTAGTAAACTGGGAAATGTTATCCAATATTTTTCAATTACTATGGATGATACTCGAACCGGTAGCTTTACTCACAGAAAAAAGTATATGTCTAAACTTTGGATATATTTTAAGTCAGTAACGTTGTACTATCACGTTAGAAATGCAACCCAAATTTGGGTATTACATTTTACAAATACTTGTTCCTTCAAACCGCAAACAGTTCATTGAAATGTGTTTCTCTCTCCCTTTCAGAAATTTTAAAGTTGAATATTGTTGATAATGTTACCTCAGTCTATTTAATTACTAAAATATATACATTTGTAGACAATCTCTCAAATTACTTGGACAATTTTTAACAACATTAAATTGTAGTTTAATGCATTTGACATATTTAATTTAAAAAAACCTTAAATTTTCCACTTAAAGCACATTGTGGAAGTTTCAGGCGTTTGCTGTATATTTGAAATCGGTACAGACACTTCCAATTGAGACAATTGGTTGAATCGGGTACAACTAAAATTGCCAGTTCAAGTTCAAAATGAATATATAATATACTGTTTGACCAATCAGATTTGAGAATTGTTTTATATCCTAGCATTCCTTCACAAAGAGACAAACATAAGCCCGTCTGCAAAATAAAGGCAATATAAGTATTGTCGCTTGCTATGATGGAAAAAAACAAGTTGGTTACTTTTCGGGTAAAGATTTAACCGTAAGATATCCATATATATTAAAATGACAAATATGCCTAAATTGGGTGACATATCAGTCGTTAAACATGATAAGATGTCATTTGACTTAGTTTTGAAAAGGCTGTCTCCCTTTCAAAATCATATTTTGGGTACATTGTAAGGTAATAGACATCAATACTGCATCTTTAATTCTTTCTTATATTTTTAAAATAATCCTCTACAGTTGAAATTTATAATAATGAAAATGATGATGAAAACTTTATCTTGGAGAACAGCTCCAACAAAAAAAAATAATTTATTTTTCCTGTGAAAATTTGAGTTATCATTCTTTGAATTGAACTTTTTCAATAACCTTTTAGATCGGATAGACAGTTGTATCAGAGATCCGTTTGATTCACGGTTTGAAAAAACATCCAGCAATCTGGTAAGTAAAATTGATTGTAGATTGAGGCATTGACCTTACTTAAAAACTGGAAATGAAACTTTTTATATAAAAGGAGTCGTATCATTACCGATGGAACTACTATCGAACAAGATGAAAACAGCAAGACAAATTTAATACCGTTACTTTACCCCTACGGTACTAAAACTTATCAAAGATAAACTATGTGAAAAGACCAATACAATACATTCATGGTATATCAAATGTAAGAACAAAATCAAAAGGATCAACGAGAGACTAGAGTACAAGTATCAAAATAAAAAGTTATTCACATCCAGGATAAAATCGAAGTAATAATGGACGATTTTCGAGGCCGATCTCAACAGGTTTTAAATTCTTAATGTTTAACAACAGGATTCAAACTGATAACTGGAACTGGGTTGATCCAAATAAATTTAGTTGCTAGGTGCAAGTTTGATTTGTTAAACTCCTTCATTGTACCAAAACTTGAAGATTAGTTAAAACATTACTTACTAAATTCATTAGAAAAAGCACGTATCATATCGATGTGGTAAATAAAGAAAGACATATTTGTCAAATTCCTAAATTGAATATTTATGTTCTTTCAATTAAAAGTGACTGTTTTAACAAAATTGTTACACAGGATTGTTTAAAACCAAGAATAAAATTTTAACATAAGATTTTTCATTCTATTTTGTATAATGTTAAATACTTTTTTTTTTTTATAAAAATTCTTCACATAATAATTGCGTTGAGGGTTTGCATTTTTATTGAAAATCAAACATTTCATTAACATTCATATGTAGGGACTTGAGTTTAAAAAAAAAGAGGCAGTTGATAGCAAGAAATTGAAAAAATCGAAAGACGGACAAACAAGTTGACAAAATACTACATAGAAATTTAGGCGACAGTACTTTGCCGGTGTTTTAAATCTCCTAAATCGATTAGGAAGAGAAAAATCAAAGTAATGAATAAAAACTGAGGGAATTGCATGAACTAACCAGACTGAGCTACACTAACGGCAGCAAAAACTAGGAATGATCAGGTTTCTGGAAGAGTAAGGAGAATTTGTTTCAGTAGTGGCACTAGCTAGAAAGTGAAGATACAACTTTTCATGTTGTAATGACATATTTCACTATAGAAAAAATCAAAAATGATTGTCACTAATCTAATATGAATGTATTTTCTATTTAAAAGTGACTGGTTTAGCCAAATTTTATTGTGCTCAACTATCCAGCTTGAATGACAAACTTTAATTTAATGTTATACCAGTTTTACCCCCCAAGACAAAAAAAACCCCAACAAAATAACCTTCAAAGTATCGAATAAAATAACCTACAACCTGACATTTTAGGATTGAGTAGTGTATAAGGTATATTTATAGATTATAACATGTCCTTTTCTAAATCGGCAATGGTATCGTCCCGATACTCCAATATCAGCCCAAGGCGCTAGCCGAGGGCTCATATGGGTCGAGGGATGATACCAGTGCCAATATGGGAAAGAACATGTTATAATCTATTAATCACATTTTCAACAAATGCTTGAAAATGTGGAAAGAATTTTGATCTTATATTTTTTTTTCTCCACTGAAATAATTTCATATTACAAAGCTCCCCAAGAGTCCAAAACTATAGTCCTTGAACATTATAATGCTGATATCAGATTTTCTTTTAGGATTAGTGTTCTTTATTTCTTTAACAAATTCCGCTGTCATTTAAATCGACGTTGACAAAACAAGCATCTTTCTCGTCCGTCATTGTTGTTAGAAACGATTATGACGTCATTGATAACAGGGCACAACTGGTTATATGCCCCGTGCAGAAATATGACTAGGGCAAATCTGCGGTTATCGTATATGCAAAACCTAACAAATATGTGATACATGAGTTTATTGTCATATATTTTCGCAGTATCTTAATTATGTATTTGGAACTACGTTTTTCAGACTGATTATGAACGTAGACTATCATCGAGTAGAAAAAAGCATGTTACAATAGAGCCAGGGGTAAAATATTTTTAACAGACATGATAGGGACTTTTTCATTGGTCCACTAAGATTGAATGAATCATTCTGCACCTTGGTATAAGAGGTTAAGGTTGCATGTGATGTTTGTTTTTTATTTTTTTGTGATTATCACCGTTATGTGTTTAATTGCAAATTTTGTTTGATGCAGAAAATTGTTATAGTTTATATTGAAAAAACTACGCATTTCTGATCTTAGTAAAGCACAAAATAAATCAAGTCATCACTAAATAAACAACATTACACATGTGAAAGACAGCGATATATCCAAGCAGACAATTTAGCGGTTAGCTATAAAACAACATTGACCAGTATATAGTTTGAACAGACTAATTCAAGATATATGCTATGCTATTTTCTTGTAACAGAATCGCATGTTTTCAGAGGTTCTGACTTTCCAGTTGTTTGACTTTGAGCTAATATGCAAAACATATTATGATATTTTTTTAAAGAATAATATAACAAAACTTTCGAGACAATATTTTACGATTGTATATCGTTTCGATTTTTCTTCGTTTTTTGGGCATTTCTAGATTTGCCGTCGTATTAGTAAAGAAGTCCATTGCCAAATATTATTAAACGAAAGTCAAATGGAATCTTTTTACTCCACCTTCTACAGTTCTAGGACCGACAGGTTAAATTGAAATTGCAATGGTCAGTCGTTTTGCTGTTCACATTTATTGTTTCATAAGCATTTAAAGTTAATACATTGAAAAATCGGGTGAATAAAAAGACGGTGTCTTACTGACTATTTCTGTCTCCATTAAGGAAAATACAATAATAGAGTTATAAAAATCCATACACGGGAAATGGCATTGCACTTTATCATGTTTATACACCTACATATGTTGATATGACATCCAATGGTTAACTAAGAACACCGGTTGTTGTTTTTCCGTTTATGTTAAGTATTATTTCATTATAAAGTATAACAGTAATTTTTTGTTACAATTGTTTAATGCTTAGCTTGCCGGAAACATCTAATTGATTTAACCGAAAATAAATATCCACTGCAAAATTAAAAACAATCACACGCTTTTCTTTTATATTTGTTATATTATCGCAGGAACTTTGATTTTAGTAATTCGTTGTGCTTTTTCGTCTCTTCTTTTTTTTTCTGATTCTTTTGAATTATGTTTACCTTATCCATGCCATTAAGAACAATGTAATACTTAGATGCATCTTGACATCAGTAGTAAGTTATGATATGCACACTGAATGAAATCGCAATAGCCACCTCTTCTCTAACATTGGAATAGAAGAAATTACCCCGTTCTTTTGCTGAGACTTATACATTACCGGATTTATAGAATTTACTTCAAGGCCTTATGGGGTAGGCGCTTACTTTTTAACATATTACTGTTATTCAGAAAATTTACCGTCCAGATTATCGTCGCTGTTATTTATGTTGTAGCTCCTATAAGTTGTCAATTTTCCTGATAATATACAACCGTTGTTCTTAAATCAAATGAACATTAACGATTGAAATTAAAACATAAGATGCAAAATCTTTTGCATTTCAATATATATATTTCTTTACATTACATGATAATTTTGGACAAATATTATACATAAAAGTAACTGAGTAGTAACTATAGTAAACAAAGCCATTACTATCGATGTGGCGCACATTTGGACTTATATATGTTCACCAACACTGCATCTTCAAATTTTTATTTCTGATAATGGTCTAGAACTTGCTTAATACTGATTTCGTTTTAGAAAATAACAGCATGAACAATGAAAACCTGACTGATTGTAGTTTTTCTTTTAATGAAACAGGACTTTGGAAATAAACAAACAGAAGATGGAATAGTGATATGTAAAATAAAGACATTGACAAAGGGGGATGTTTTTGTGAGTAAATTATTTCATATTATACACTTTTTCCCTAAAAGCGATGGATTTTTATAATTGTCAACCTGAAATGGTTATTTCCCCTATGACACTGTATTATATAATCAAAATTGTCTTCCCTAAGTGCGCAGCGCGAGTGGAATTGACCTTGTAAGACTCTTATAATCTATTTCAAAGGCAGTGACTAGTTTTTCTTTAAAAACCTTCTCATTTATTCTTGATGTCTAAAGGCTGACAATTCCATGTCGCGTGAAGAATCAAAACTTTAAAAAGCACTAACAAAACAGAAAAGAAAAAGAAACTCTTAGGGTCGACTTCAAAATAGTTGCAACATAAAGTTTAAGCATTTGTTTTATAGATTAATTTTCATACTGTCAACTTTAAACCTTATTGATATATGGTAATACCGTTTCACTTGATACTGTTCAACTCAGAGACTGAGTCAACACACAATAGTAGTGCTACATTGTATAAACAATTGAAATCTACTACATATGTCGCAAAAAGGTCAATGAATAAATGCGACAGTAGTTTAACGATGTTCAAATTTCGTAAAATCGATTCAAAAGAGACAAATGAAGGTAACAAAATAAATCTCGTGAACTCTAAAAGGAGATAGACTGCGTGCATCGACAGGTTATACCACAACCGCTAGGCATGCATTACCCGTCATGACCCCTGACCCATGATTTATTAACTAAACTAAACTCGATGTTATGGGGATAATTGCATATTATCTAAGCAAAGAAATAACCAATTTTATTTGCTAATTAAGAAGCGGAATAAAATAATTTAAGATAGCAGGGAAGATAAATTATGTAGTTTTATAGCTTTAACTGATATAAAGAATGAGAACTTTATATTGTAAATTTTACGATGTCTCTGTAGTGACCAGTGGGTCAGATTTGTTTAACATTACTATTTGATTAATTGTCTAAATTATATAACACCTTTTTACGTGTAGAAAACCATGTGAGTGGATTCCTTACTTCTTATTGGTCAATGATCTTGCGGGGTCAGCACAAGTTTACGTGTCATCTGTGCACTTCCTTTCATCATTAACTTTCGTCTTGATAACTTGTGATTCTTAAACATTGCGTGAAATTTAAATCAATTGTGTATAATTTGAACTTATCTGTGTAAAACTCAAATTTTTCTGGAAGATCCAGCCTGGATTGATTTGTTCCAGCAATTTGAGGTAAAGGCGAACCATATATTTGTGTATTTATAATTTGAGTTGTTATATTGACTTTACTTTTTTGCTTACATTATGGATAAACGTGCAGTTGTTTTTGGCCATTCTTTCATTCGTAGACAGTGTTGACCCAAAGCGATTAGCTCGAGATATAACTTCATTTGCAGAGTTCATCATTGATGGTTATGATATAAAACATATTATTATCGGTCAACTTTTTCACCGTTTTAAAGCAAATCGGCCTTATAATTACAACGAACTTCTTAATGAAGTAAATACACATGTGAAATTGATCATAAAGAATATAAGACAAATTATCGTTTTGGCATCATAGAGGCATGTGGTCTGATTCTGAATCACTGATAGCATATGACGGTGTGCATTTAAATGAAAAAGGCACTTTAAAATTTGCAAATAGTATCAGATCCGCCTTAGGCACCTGTATGAGACGTGGTTTATGACCCATATTTATTAACTAAACTAAACTCGATGTTATGGGGAGGATTGCATATTATCTAAGCAAAGAAATAAAAATACCCTTAGCGTGTGTAAAATTGTACGCCTCTTTTATAGCATAATTCTTCTATATTTAACTACTTATTTAGTTCTTATTAAGATAATGTAAGAACGGCTTACAACACTACAAACATAAAACATCTTCTTATTTTTATATTGTTTACACTTGATTTAGTACAATGACAATGTTATAAAAATCACCACAAACGCTAGAGACAAGAAGTTGCAATAAAAACTATATATATAGCCCGTACAAAAAACCATGCTACCTGCACCATTTGTTTTGTTGATATTTGTACGTCAGTTTTCCATGCAGTCGGATATAGATGGTTAATATGGTATGTTGATCTGGCCAATAATCTATGGTGATTCCTGTTACCCTTTTTTGTGTGTAAGAAAAATACAGGTTGCTTATATATCAACAGCTGCAATCTCTTGCTTCATACAATATTTAAAGACAAAATAAAACTTATGATAAGTCTGGTTTAATAATGTAAAAATATCGAACATCAAATGGTGATTTATTTCTCAATTTTACCTACAAGAAATGATAGCTTTTCAAGTATATTGTTAAGTTTGTTGTACTGTATGATGTGTTTCAGTACAACTACGCAGATATGTTAGTACACACATATATATATATGAATAACTTGACAGAAAACTAAACTATAAATGTTTGCTCTTGATAGGGTCTCGAGTATATTGTATTTGATGAAATGGACCAGAAAAATCAGCCTGGCTTCATACTGAGAAGTAATGGAAGCGAGTGTCTAATGATACATAAGAAGGTTTACAAAGATCTCACAAAAAACGACTTTGATCTGAAAGAGAAACTCCGTAGTGTGGTGAGTATACAAGTTATCTTAGGCTAGATTATCGGCTAGATTTAGTTACTCTAGAAATTAATCAAATTTGACTTTTTATCATTAACAATACTCGACTATTTAGTGATATATTGTTGTTAATCATCTCAAAAATAATAACAATGAAGCTATGTAGTTCAATGCCATTTTTCTGTATACGTTGTTGATTTTTTCATATGTTTTGGCTTTACCGATATTAACCACTCATCTATAATGAAGAAGAGTATAAAATTATTGTACATCATTCCACTATAATAATTCTGATAATAGTATGGAATTGAAAATTTTGCCAATTAACTTTTGCGTGTTTGAAAGACCAGCAGGTGATTGATATTATATTTACCTTTAGTAATAGCAATAGCAATTATTACATGATTAATTAGGACTAGAACAATTATACCATTAATCTGCTTACTCTTCTACAGCACTCGCGATCACCCCCGGTTTCTTTGGTGGTGATCGCGTTACTTACTCTTTAAGGCTTTCTATGTTGTGATAGACTGTTGTTTGTCTATCTTGTTTTTAATTTTTTACGATGACGTTTTCTGTTTGTCTTCGACTTATGAGTTTGAATATCGCATTGGTATCTTCCGCTTTTTTTTAATCGGTTGCATTCAGAAAAGTGGATGGAATCTTGACTGCCAAATGATTATGAAGTCTTGTTGTGAGGGAAATAAAATTGCATTGCAATTGTCAACATAAGGTCACTTCTGAAAGTTGTTGAAAGGGATCATTACCATACATAAAGAGTGACATTACCAAAGCATAAGGCATCATGTTTCATTTTCAAATTCCGACCTAATTTGGCTTCGTGCATAGGCAGGTCGAGGTACCCAAGCTTTTTTCAAACGTAATGTGTCGTCTTTAAACCTGGTACCCCAAAGGTTCATAAACTTTTGACTTATTTAACCAGAATCAAGGACAAAAATACAAAATAACATATCATATCACAACTTATTTTCGTTTATCAGACTGATTTCTGGTTATGATGATATTTCTTAACCATCAAGCATATCTGTTATGATGATTATTTTATTATTTTTCCACCGCTATAAGCAATAATTGTTTTGTTTTTTTAACAATCATTTAGATATTGTTATTTCCTCTGATTAAACAAAAACAACATATAAATCTCAAGATTTGTAATATCTGTATTGTAATCTAAACTATATTTCTATTCTGTCTTTACAAATAATTCTGTACAGTAATTTTAGTAGTGTTTGTATTATAATGTTCTGTCGACAATAATTTACTTTTACTTTAAATGAAAGCAAACTTATCTCTCTCTCTCTCTCTCTCTCTCTCTCTCTCTCAGTTATAAAATTATATGGCGTTGTGCAACGATACTCGAAAAAGATAAAAATACACGAACAAAATTAAATGAGATTGTTTTCACAAATATTTCCCATAACAAATGGCCTTTTGAGTACTATACATCTTTTTGTATTCATAAGTTTTCCCAATTATATTCTTTCTTGAATCGACGACTTCTACATTGATGTACTTTTATTATGATTTAAACCCTTTGATTCAATAACTTAAAACTGATGATAATATTTCTTCAAAATATTTACGTTTTTATAGGTTTCACCTTTTCCAGAAGAGGATAATTTAAAGGAAAACCTTTTAATAAGAACCAACTGGGAGCTACATAAAGATATTTTACTTGACAATATAATGTCAGAAAAAGCTAGATTGAAACCACAAAAGCATGGACAAAAATTTGCATCTATCAGATTAAAGTGAATAACAGAAAACAGATGACGACATTGACAATATATTGCAACAAATATTTGCGCTTAGATAGTCAGAATCGTTGGTGTGGTTGATACATTTGCTACCGTCGTGAAACCTTTGATATACATTATGGAAACATAACCTCTAATCAATGATATACATAATGAAATAATACTTATGCAATGGTCATATTTTTGGTTACACAGCTTAACGATGGGAGTAAGAGTTTAACAATTTGTTGTGTTTTGCTTATCCAGTAGCAAAAGGTTGAAATGCATGTATACTCATTACGAAAAACATTTTCAAACAAGAATGTGTCAATAGTACACGGATGCCCCACTCGCACTATAATTGTCTATGTTCAGCGGACCGTGAAATTGGGGTCAAAACTTTAATTAATATTAAAAATAGAAAGATCATATCATAAGGAACATGTGTACTAAGTTTCAAGTTGATTGGACTTCATCAAAAACTACCTTGACCAAACACTTTAACCTGAAGCGGAACAGACAGACGGACGGACGAACGAACGGACGGACGAACAAACGGACGCAGAGACCAGAAAACATAATGCCCCTACTACTGTCGTAGGTGGGGCATACAAATCTAAAAGGAAGGACCTTCAAGATGAACAGACCGGCATCGAGGGCTTGAAATTTAGACATCTCTTCACTAGTATTCCTCACTCTACGTTAAGCCAACAATCAACAATTAATCTTAATTTTGAGAAAGACTAAAAAAATTATTCCAATCTAAAATTAAGCAGATGTTGAATGATTGCAATTTAGACAATTATCCACCATTGACCATGGAGCGTTGATGTAAGCTTTGTTTGATACAAATGCATTGTTTTATTCTTCATTCTTTGTAGAAACAAAGCGCTGATTCATACAAAACGTTATTTTAAATTACGAAATTGTCTTAATTATTTTTCGTATTTTTCCATGTCATTTTATTGTTAGTTTGATTTCAAATAATGAGATTGAATGTCCCTTTGGTATCTTTCGCCTCTATTTTAAACTTACATCATCAACTGAAGATGCTTGATTTTTTTCATTACAGCATATTTGCTACGTTTGAAGGACTTGCTTTTTCAACAGACATAGGTTATTCCTATCAGAAGTGTGCTTATCTTCATGTCGACTTATTCTGTTATTAATATAAGTTTGACTTCATGCAGAAGCTTTTCATGAAGAACGACAAGAAGCTAGAACTATCCTTTACTTTCACTTCCGTTCCGCTATACATAACATGTCGACCTCACTAAATAATTCAAAGTTTGGTGACTATGTAAAACTCTATCCGATCGAACTTGCAATAAAGAATACAAAAGTAACAATTAAATGTGCTTCATTTGTTGACTTAAAACATAAAATTGATATGCAAGGTCGGTAGAGAAATCAAATTTACGACAAAAGAGATGATTTAAAATATTCAATTGTAAATTTTCAAATTCTGTGTAACAACAATCTAGCAGCGCCTACATATGGAGTATATGATACGCTTTCTAGAGCTTGCGTTTCGTGTAATGATTTCTTGATTAAATTTGCTGCTTACAAGGAAACTATTGATTTAAGGGATGCTTCTGATAAAATTGAATTCATTCTTTGGAAAAGTTAACCGATGCCATCATGAATTGATTGACTGTTTTGTATTAACATGGACCTATATTTTTACACACAAAGCAACCAATACGAACGCCCCCTTTTCCACAATATAAAAACCTGAAGGTGTAGTATGATTACCAGTAAGACTAACAAGTTTTACTACCTGATGGGAGTACAGATGACTATATATATATACCCTAGTCAACCCTATGGGTATGATACTTCTTGACAATGGGTTATATTGAAACATCTTGCGATCTAATCACACAATGGCGAAAAGCATTCTAACAAGGCTAGAAATATAGATTTATAGTCAATATAGGAGTAGAAACAGTTTGTCTTTCCAAAGCACATTATAGTTTATCTCTAGTAGGTTCGTGTAGCACAATCTTAAGTTTTCTGCACTATTGTTCGTCTCGTCTTCGTTTTTCCTTTTAGTCAAGATATTGTCTCTTCTTCAACTGATGCTTTTTTATTAAATCTTGGTATATTGTCTCTTTTTGTTATACCAAATCAAAACTGATCGAATTTTCTTACAACCATTGTACTGATAAATCAATATACTGGTCAGTATAACAATTAATGTATATTATCTTTAATTTGTTTAGTTTTATTCAAAATGTATTCATATTACAGTCATTATTGTATACTTGTTCGTCCAACAATTCCATCAGTAATAAGACGATGCCCATTATACTGATTATAACATCCTTAAACAGCAACTTGTCTTATAATTATAATAATGGAAATGCTACAATCAATTACTAGAATCCGTACCTTACCAAACGGAGATCAAATTACAATGGACGTTGATATTTCTTAAATTTATAGAGAGTTCCCTGTCAGGAGGTTCTTCATTAACCAATAATTTGTCATCTTGAATGGCTATCAATCTATCTTTACGTTGATTAGGTCTTTGGAAAACTTCCTATTTAAAATCACTTAATTAAATATGAAAAATATTGAATAAAGCTCTATGCATATATGATGAAAAAAACTTCCATTCTTTCGAAAAGAAACATAAGTAGAGTTCTTTGTGCTATTTAATGTAACAGACGAATATAAAAATGTCTGTAACAAATGCATGTGGAAACTTGTATGTCTTAAGCAAGTTTAGTTTGCTTATATATTGATTGTAAGAATTTTATTGAAAGTATTCGGATTATCTTTTTCATTCAAATAACAAAATCAGCCAATCTATTCCACATATTAGATAACTTAATTACAGCTGTCCGTAAAAAGTCAAGTCTTTCTTCTAAAACGCATAATCTAACCCCATTTAAGTTCAGTAGCGTAAAAGGAAACGTAATTATTACCACTGTTCCGTATGACGTATATCTACTGAAATACATAAAGGATGCACAAGTCTTGTTACTGTGACGTATAATTATAAGTTAATACCGGCGTCACAAATCAGCGTATAGCACCGACGTACGCCGGACGTGGTCAAAAACCATGTACGCTGCCAATACGCTAGTAATTTTGGACGCATTCAACTTGTCAATCATATCTGTATCGTGTGCACAACGAGCTTTAAGCGTATTTAGGGCGTACGAGAAGCGAACATAAGCGTTTATCGGGCGTTCAAGTAACGTATGTTGGCGTATGTCTGGCGTTTGTCTAACGTAAATGAAATGCACGCTACGAAGGAAAAACGTCCCTTGAACGTATTTGACACGCGTCCCTGACGCATCTGGGACAATTATCCGTGCTTTCGGCGTGTCTGGCACGTGTAATTATGGGGTGTTTGTACTACTTCTGAATACAACTGGTCTTATGTTCACGCCTTTTTCATAACAATTCATTTCGAAATGCCAACCAAAGGAAGAGGCAGAGGTAAATCAGTTCTTGGTCGTGGCCTGGGCCGTGGGAAGATGAGAACGTCGGGAACAAGAAAGAGAGTGCAAGAAGAGAATACTGGGGATTCACGAAGTCAGTCTACCAAGTCTTCCAAGTTCAAGTTAGTCCAGAAAACGTACCAAGTGGTCCCGACAGTCCTGATAACACACCTGTCATTCGGGAAAACCAACCGTCATCAGGATATGACAATGAACATGATGAAGTACAAACAGTTGTTAAATCTGGAAAACCGAAACCGCGCACAGAAAAGCGAGATTGCAGTATCAAGGATCCTGATGTGGAAAATGATCTTGTTACATGGTATAGAGATAACCCATTATTATGGGACATGAAACATGTCGACTTTAAAAATAAAGACAAAAACAGAATATCCTTGTTACCTAGGCAGCTGAACTTGGGTTAAACAGTGAGTTGTTTTTCTAATTCACTTAACCGTAGAAAAAGTAAATATCCTAATTAATATTAAATATAATTTTAGATATAACAAGTTGATTTGATTTATCTATTATAAGTGATTACTTTAAAAAAGAAATCGAAATTTAAAATCCAATTCAACGACACCCTTTTTACACGAAGGACATTTTTGAATTATGATTATAATCCTACTGTAACATATGTGTTTTAGTTTTAATACATTTGTTATCGTTATTTGTCATTTAATTATTGCAGTTTATTTCCTCCATCAAACTTTGAAGAACTTAAGACGTGGTTCAAGTCTGTCAGTGACCAGTGTACAAGACTTTCGGGTTCTTCAAGCAGAGGGTTCTGCACAAGCCCCAACCAGTGTTAGTATAATATCACATATACTTCTTTTCTTTCTGTGTACATTTCTTAATTTACTATCATTCGAGCCACGCCGACTTTCGACGATTTTTTTAGGAATCACCCAGTCCGTCAGTCTGTCTGTCCGTCCAACCATCTACACTTTATATGGCGTGTGATAACTCAAGTTTGCTCTGACTGATTTATATAAAATTTATACACACCATTTTTAAACAGTAGAATATACCCCTTTCGATTTCGGAACATTTTCGATTTGACGTTTCTAAGTTATTGGACGAAGCCCAGCATGAAGTGTCAATTTTCTACTAGTGTAACATATTTATTTCCTCTCACTATTAAAGTTGCGACAGAATACTGTACATGACGCCAACGTCCGTCCGTTCTTTACATGTTTTTTTATGAACACTCAAGAACAAATTCATTCAATGGATTTTGACAAAATTTGCTACTTTGTCCTTACCAAGGTCTTTAACCCTATCGATTTTCCTGGATATTCGTTAAAGGTAAAGTCACATAGTTTATTGTTTTTATCAAGATCTGAAACCTACATGTAGTGATTTTCCAGGTCATAGCTATAGGTCAAAGGCCAAAGTCTCAATGGGATTAAACACTTTTTGCCTATACTGTTTGAAATTTAAAAATGAATTGATCGAAATCGCATGCATCTAATGACCTTCTCGACTTGCACAGCGTAGACATTGGTACGTGTAAATACATAGTCTAATGTATTCCAGCAAGCTAACATTTTACATTATTCATGGTTATTTTTCTGGTCCATTTGGGACCATTTGTTGTCGATTGATCTTCACATTCGAGTTATAGATAGGTCTGTATTTATAATCATGTGAACACATACATGGATGTAATTTGGATACCTAGTCAGCATTGAGGCAAAAATATATCACTTCCAACTTTTAAACATTGATGACTTTGGTTAAGGAGCAATATATTTTTTTTTTTTGGGGGGGGGGGCTTGGATATCAAATTTCAAAAGAAAAGGTGGGACAGGGTTTCTTGGTAAAAACAAATCCAGGATAAGAAATTGGTCAAAATTAAATGCTTCATTGACCCTGTTGTTCCTGTGCTGTTCTAATTTGTGATACAATAACATATTTTGTCAGTTACAAGGTTCAGTATCTACATTTTGCGAATCGTCCATTTCATTATCATTGTTAAAACAATCGATACAATTTCGATAAATTCATTTTTGTTGTAAACAAAATCAATATTTTTTTTAACAACAAAAATGAATTTATGTTAAACGCATCTATTGTTTCCACAATAATGATTCGCACAATGTAGACACTGACCTATATTATCAGGACTGCCTCTGGCTTACTTCATCCTTTTTCATTTCTTTCCATAGAGCTGGTTACAGTGGACTTAAAAAATCATCACAATTGTCACAGAGTGAAGTTTGGCAGCCGAATCCTCACTGGCACTACAACCAACCCATTGGTTCCGTTTGGGGTTCGCAAAATCCAGCATATATGCAACAGTATAATGGTAACATATTCCAAGCTCCTTCTTCCGTAAGACCTTATCCAGCCTTTGATCCAGTTATTAGGTCCAAGACCATGAATGCTAGCAGTCCGTTTAGATCTGATGGGTCAGTGCCTTCAACAACCCAAGCTCAGCTTACCTCAAAGGGAACCTCACTAACACCCCTTATTCCTGTGCCCGGCTTGATAGAATGTCTACGCGCAACCTTGGCTGCAGAGTCAGATTCAAACCCGTCTTAAATTGGTAATGCCGAGAAACATCTTGACATCCATAGCTAAAATGTATACGTGTTGTTCTAATAAAAGTTGTAAAACGGACATTCGTCATGGCAGTTTAAAGTGACTTAAGTTTTTCTCTTTTTAATGCCGAGAAGTATCTAGACATTGATAACTAAAATGTATACGCGTTGTACTGATAAAAGTTGAATAAGGGACGTTCGTCTTGGCAGTTTAAAGTGACTAAAGTTTTTTTTCTTTTTAAATCAAGCATATCGTATGCCTTAGTAAAAGGTAAACTAGTAAACATATAGTGATGATTTTACATTAATAAATGTGCATGTACAATGTGATGATTTTACATTAATAAATGTGCATGTACATTTATTAATGTACATGCACATTTATTAATGTAAAATCATCACTATATGTTTACTAATAAATGTGCATGTACAATGTGTCTTAGTAATTACATGCAGTTCTAACAGGAATTCCTAGTAATGCAATTTTAGTCATTTTTGTAGAAGGTCCTTGATTTATTTGATGGATTCTTGCATTCTTACTTGGTAGCATTTATTGTTATTAAATGTAGATGTACAAACTTTACTGTCATTTCGATTTAGTGTATTTTTGTTATTTTTGGAGTAATGTGACTTTGCTTTTGCCCAACGGCGGGACCATATGTACACGGCCATCAATCGCACAAAATCATATTCTCCTCTTACATTTTTTAAGGAAGATCTTTTTTAATGGTACCTCCTGTTCATATCCGGAAGTCGTCATCGGAATGTGTTTGCATATATATGGATTTGCATGATTTTATGCGATTGGTAGCTTTTTGTAGCAATATGACTTTGGATGGCCTTTTGATTTATGGACTATCCGCTTAATCGATTTTGGAGTGTTAAATCGATATATTATGGATTGGATTCCCAGTTTGATTTTTGTCTCGCCTGCGTCGAAAGACTCTGTAGACGAGACATATGTATAGCTATATCGGCGGCGTTAACTTGTTTGTGAACGCTTTATAACTCAGAAGGAAGAAGACCTAGACCATCCATATTTCGTCCATACATGCCTTATGTTGCAAGCTTTCCATCCGTCACATGTCAGATGTCCTTGACCTCATTT